GGACACTCTTGTGGGACACTCTTGTAGGACACTCTTGTGGGACACTCTTGTGGGACACTCTTGTGGGACACTGTTGTGGAACACTCTTGTACAAAACTCTTGTGGGATACTCTTGTAGGACACTCTTAAGGGACACTCATGTGAGACACTCTTGTGGGACACTGTTGCGGGACACTCTTGTGGGACACTCTTGTGGGGCACTCTTGTGGGACACTCTTGTAGGACACTCTTGTGGGACACTCTTGTAGGACACTCTTGTGGGACACTCTTGTGGGACACTCTTGTGGGACACTCTTGTAGGAAACTCTTGTTGTGGGACACTCTTATAGGACACTCTTGTGGGACACTCTTAAGGGACACTCTTGTGAGACACTCTTGTGGGACACAGTTGCGGGACACTCTTGTGGGACACTCTTGTGGGACACTCATACGGGACACTCTTGTGGGACACTCTATCTGGGACAGTCTTGTAGGACACACGCTTCGAGGCTGCAAGATGAGCGTTTCGTACGAGACTTCCTCCAAAAGTCATACGTCAAGTCTCCAAAACGAGCGTTTCGTACGAGACTTCCTCTAAAGTCACTCGTCAAGTCTCCAAAACGAGCGTTTCGTGCGAGACTTCCTCAAAACGTCACGCGTCAAGTCTCCAAAACGAGCGTTTCGTACGAGACTTCCTCAAAAACTCACATGTCAAAGTCTGCAAAACGAGCATATGGTACGAGACTTCCTCCAAGGAAACACCCATCGGAGCACACACATCACACAGCCCTGCCAAGCAGTTTCGCGATTCCAGCCCCTCCAAACCACACCCGCTCACACGCCAATCCCAGTGTGACAGCGACATCCACCTCTACCACAACTCACAACCTCACAATTCCCTGCGCCTGCCACGAATCTTTCCGCATCCACACGTCTGACGCGCACAAAGTACTGCGCCTGCCACGAAATGTCACCTCCGTCACACCCCGCAACCTCACCATTCCCTGCGCCTGCCACGAGAATCGCGCTTCCACGCCTCAAAACCCACACAAAGTACTGCACCTGCCACGAAAAGTGAATATCATCTCATGTGAGCTTCAATAAAATTTGCACCACACCACACGCTTGGAATGATTTCGACCCGTTCTGAGCACACTCCCATCCACCAAAATCGCCATTTCAGCAGAGACTTGTCACGAAAACAGAGCTTCGATGCCACACCCTGAAACGCAAATCCCAATGGCACGGTCACATCCAACACCCCAAAAACACGACTCTCCAAACGCTAATCCCAATGGAACTGCGCAGGCGCAGCAAACTGCAGATCTCACAAAACGCTGCGCCTGTGCAGTGAAATCATCCTCCTCACTTCAACATCTTACATTTCCACACGATTCCTCGCTATTTCACACGAATCTGACCCGAGAACATGCAACCTCCGGCTGCCAAAGCTTTTGCCCTCCGGCTTGTTTGGCTTGGTTTCCCTTTGGTTTGCCTTCGCACCAAAGGTGGTCACAAAAACGAACATATATTTATATACTTAGCTCTATAACCTGGACCGCTTCTACAAAGTGGCCACCCAAATGCAACCTAAGCATGGCAATTACACTTCTAGGCCCGTACTCCTTGTAACCACCCTGGCACCTGTAATGCTTTGAGGATCTTTGGGGAAGCTTCATTGTGGGCCCCCCCTTTGGTGAGCAAAGACATGTCTAAATATGAAACTGACTTATTCAGGATTTGGGGGAATGACCCTGGGTGAGTAGTTGAGTGAAAAATAAAAAGAGACTACAGAAGGCTGCCTGATTCATTTTGTAGCAGAATCCGCGCGATTATTTTGAGAGATTGTGGGAAGGCGGGCGCCCATTTTGTAGCAGAACATTTTTTGTTTGATGGGGGACGAACCCCTTGTCAGGAAACCATTTTGTAAGGCTGCATTCCTTTGCAACACCCTTTTTGTAAGGCTCAGGTCGTTCTGTACTACAAATCTGTTTCCACGACCCCACCCCCTAAATGGTTACCGGGATGTAAAAAATACTTACTTACGCGCATCCCTTCTTGGGGATCATATACACTTGCTGCAACATTTTCCTCGGTTTCGCAATCCCTAAGACCAAGTGAAACCCTCCCTGTACACACACCCCCACCCCATGTACATGTCTATATAGATCTTGGATAGGTGCGGAACGGCTTTTGTGGACGCCGCCTCTCACCCCGCCCAACCGTCTCAGTTCAACTGCTGCGCGGCGGCGCGACTGGCGCTCCACGCTCGCCTCGCTCCATGAGACATGCGTGGCGCAATACGCCGCAGCTCACGCAAGTGGCTCCTCGGTGGTGTGGTGGAGAAATGTGGAGGACGCAGGATGGCCATGAAACTAAGGGGATCTCTAACGTCCAGGTAACCCCAAAAAAAACCACGTATACCAACAGAGGTTGAAGGACCCTATAGCCTATCCCATAGGTACCCCAGTAAGGTCCTATAAGGTCACTTAACCTCTCTTGGTAGGTGGCTGAATTGGTTGGTGTTGGGTTCGTTTCGGATTTTCTCATGTGAAGGCGTGGGATCTCTGGACGGTGGGCCATTCCGAACCTTCGCAAGAACACGCAGATGCATGGCATGGGAAGGAATATGCACGCCCAATGCTTGCATGTTTTTGATCACGTGCGTTGTTCCAATAGACATGCTTTCCGGGAAGGCTATTTAATAGTCCTCCTTTGTACTGCCCAAATTAAATCCTGGAAATAAAGTACGCTTTTTGAAATGTCGAAATGGACAAAAAGTTGTTTTCAGGGCATATAGGAACAGGCCACCCAGGAGATAATCCTGACTTGGCCTCTAAGTTGGAGAGGGGGTTGAGGGCTAGGATTTAATCATTAACAGTTGTTTCTGGGGGGGTCAGGGGACAGGAGAAAAATGTCACTGCTAAAAAGTTGTTTCTCCATGTTCCTGGAGGTAGGGGGTCAGGAAAAAGAACCTGAGTGAATACATGACCCAAAACCATGCTAGTTTTTTTGGAAGTGACCATCATCACCCTTTTTCCCCTTTATATAATTAATATTTATCTAATATTATGGGAGATGTTTGAGAAGATCGCACACATTTTGGGACTAAGAAGAAGAAGAAGAAGAAGAAGAAGAAGAAGAAGAAGAAGAAGAAGAAGAAGAGGGAAGCACGAATCAGCACACTGCGACCATGTGCTCTCACCAGTTGTTTGCCTCCCAGAATTTTGCAAAAATATGAAAATGATAACAACAAATACAAAATACACAGCATTTATGTCCTCAAAGACCAGACTCATCCCTAAAGACTCGACTCACACGACAAAGTCAGAAAACCTAAGGTGACAGTTTCTAGGGCTGACCAAGTCCAATGACATGAACTTTGTGCAAGGATGACCTATGGACAAAAATCCACACTGCTAGGGGTAGGCTTGTGATGAATGCCGGTAGTGCTCCCCAAAAAGGGGCACAATTCTTTTAAAAAATACGGATACCATAGGATACCCTTTTTTAGTAGATTTTCGTGCCACAGTTGCTTCACGCAGCATTCCGCATCAGCTCACGGTCTCTTCTTGTCACTGCATGTGGAAGTTGTTTGTGAGGTGGGGGGGGTTAGGGGACAGGAGAAACATGTCACTGTTAAAACGTTGTTTCTCCATGTTCCTGGAGGTCGGGGGTTAGGATTTAATTTACAGGTCATTGCACGCTGTCCTGTATCTTCTTGGCTTACTGTGTGGTGATGTTCAGGGGTTAGCCAAATTGGATACAAATTCCCACCCAGAAATCAGTTCCAATGTGAGGGCCTCCCCTTGCAGTCCACATGGGAATTTTGATAGTCGATGACGCCTACGGCTTGGATATGCATTGGATGTATCTTCAACATTTTCCTCCGCAGCTGCAGGGGATCGATCTAAGTTGGTTCCTCAAAGACACCAACCTTGATCTCCTGGTTTGAGGATGTTTGAGGTCACGAGTTTGGGCCTGTTTTCAAGGTCATTTCCGGACTCGAAGAAGGTGAAGAAACCGGAATAGTAGGGATTGTCTTTCCATAATCCCCTAGCTGCAGCACGTGCGACTTGAAATGACACCAGATCTTTGTAATGTGATTTTGCCAGAAGAGTTCTGAGGACTTCAGGATTGTGTCCACTTGATGAGTTTGGCTTCAACAGACTCCAGCAACATTTGCATGAAGGCTATTGAATCCAGCGAAAGGAACGCCTGCAGTAGCTTAATTAATTACAGTCCTTTGGGAGACATACCCAGGATCTTAGTTATATATACTTTTAGATGGTATACGGGATTGGGGACCCCTGCTAGAAGGCCAAACTGTGGATTGCCAATACCTCCCTCACCAAACCATGGTATGTTGACATCCCTTAAGGACGAATCTGTTTGTTTGGACCCGCGGTCAACGCGCGTGTGACGTTGTACCATGACCATGGGGGGGCCAGACCATGTGACTTGGGTGGAAGACCGGTGCTTCGACTGAGGCCAATGCGGATTGACTAAGAGCCAATGCGCTCCAAAGGGCACTGAATTCTTCGGGGTTCCGCCTCCGACCAACTGAAGTTGCAAGCCGGACGGACAAGCCAATGGCCGAAACGTGGACCCTTGAGTCATGATCACCCTTGTGGTGAAGTCATGTGAAGTCATGTGAAGTCCATGGAAGCCCTCTTCGGTGACTCTTGATCAAGAGTCAAGATCTCAGTGGGGCCTCAGGGAACCTCATGGACTCAATGGACTCAGTGTATGACGGAAGGCGGCTAGAAATTCCTTCATAGCTCCTTGGAGGCGGTGGCCTGACATGTGCGCGACATGTGCGCGACATGTGCTAGTTTTCTGATTGTAATGGGCTATGTTCATGGGAGGATATGAAATAGTTATAGTATGTTATAGTCATATAACATAGTTTTATGATTGATTAGTTTCTAAGATGGTCAATATCAGACCAGCCAACTGCAGCTCTCATGCTCGCTCTCATGCACCGCTTCGCCACCGCTTCGCCACCGGTCGGCAGGTCGGCAAGGTCGGTGTTTTGGTCGGCGGACACATGGGAAGAAGTCGTTCCACATGACATAGAAGGAGTTCCGCAAACACCTTCATATTGTTTCGGTGGAGAACCACTTCGATTTTGGTTCATGTTCAGCAGTTTAAGTGACAAAAAACACCTGGACGGACAGTTGTCACCACGGAACCGTTGGACTCTGAGAGTCTCCAGTTCGCCACATGTGGCCACTGTTCTTTTTTTGTTCTCATCCAACCAACTGGAATCGGAGTCGCTGAGACTTGATTCATAGCGTGAGGAAGGCTTGCTTTCAGCTTTGCTTTCCTCAAACTGAGTTAGTTAGTTTCGTTTCGTGACCGGAGTGGTGGTTCTGAGCAGAGCTGAGCAGGAGGATGGTTTGTCAGGTTCGTGACTTCGATCACACCATCTTCGCAACATGTCTGACGACTCGAAGTACAAGTAGCGGCTTGGAGAGGACGGCTACTCCTGCGGTTCAATGGCCAATGTGGGCAGGCATCCAACATATATAAAACAATGCGTCACAACCAACAAAGCAGATCCACAACTTTTTGCACAACTGGGCAGGGGCGTAAAATAATAGCTGATCCACCCGCAAACATGCTGGTCCTTCTTTGGAAAGCCGCTACTTCTATTCCTTTCTGGCGTCGGGCGCGGACGAATGGTGCCACCCAGACATGATATTCGGGGATTCCGGGATGGCCGACAGCACGCACCAAATTGTTTAAACATATGGGTTAAACATTTGTAAACATATGATGTTTTAAGATGTTTTAAGTTTTTGTTTTTATAATAACATAGATATTTTTGTCAACATATGGATACACATACATAGTTTTTATGTTGATGAATTCATATAACCATTATCATCCATTATCACTGGAATAAAGAGAAACACACAAAGTCACATTTCTTATATACTCTGTGATATACGTACCTGGATGGATGCGAAAGACTGATCCCCAATCATCGGTGCCCAAGAGGCACAGCAGATGTTGCTGCTTCTCCTGAGAAGCCGGATAGAAACCAGCTGCGGGGCTCAAACGACGGTCAATCTTCAACATACGCGTATCACATTTGCCACAACAACATTTGATCTGACTTGATTTAGTATTCTTTATACACTGGATATCACTGGATCTTCAACAATATCCAACCTTGCGCAATAAGTAATGTATAGTATGTTGCACAGATCATGGCACGTTAACAGGTTACCTTCGGAAGACGTTTACCTTGCTGGATGTTAAACATGCATCTATTCAGCAACAGGAACAGTGATTGGTTCCATCCACCTTAGGCACCAACAGACATCAACGGTTGGTGGGAGAACCAAGAATCAAGAAGGATGAACCGTTGGTGGCAGGACCATTTACAGTATACCTATGTATACCTCTACCCTGAAGTTGGAGCCATGACTGTTTTTCTTACCATTCATCCATAGTGCGCCACACTCGAACTTGAATCCGAACTCGAACTCGAACAGTGAAACCTCGCCAATGGAAGCATACAAGTCCTTATTCTTGAACTCGAACTCAGGATTTGAGACTACCAAACCGGGTCAAACATGTTTTAAATGGCCAAACGGAAGGCTAGGGGCTAGGGCTATAGGGCCTAGTGATTGCCCAACTCTTTCACTGAATTGAATGCTTCCTCAGTGAAATCCATCCTCCGGCGCCGCTGGCGAAATGTCTTGTGCGAGCGTCCTGAAGAAACGTTTGGGATGCAGTGATAGCAAGTTTCTGAGGTACTGGGACGAGAATAGAAGTGTTTCTTTTGTTTCCTGATCCACTTTTTGAACCATGTATGGTCGCTATATTTTTGTAGCACTTGAAGGCTATCATTGAATTCATGCTAAAGACGGGATATGAGGATATGGATTGAATTCACTCAATCCCAAGTCACTCGATGCTGATGACTTTCCTTGATGAAGCGTCCCTCAACTGTCCCTTGATTTTGGTGGTCTCACTCACAGATTCATGTCATGAGTCATGAATGTTCCATTTCACAGATTTATATGGTTTGAAATCGTCCCCCCAAATATGAGCAAATCCATGGTTTGGGTCGTCGTTTCCCCTGGTTGCTTCAGAATGGACTCGAAGTTCGAGGGTCGGGACCGGGTCAGTGTTGAAACCGCCTCCCCTCTCCGGTTGAGTGGACTGGGATACGGCGGCACTCGACAGGTGTTGTTCTTCCCAACGGGTCTGAAACGGTTTGAACGACCCGGCGATGATATGTCGCGCCACTCGCGTCAGTGGTAGATTGATGGTTTTCATGTCTTTACTCATTTAATGGGGGGTAACCTCTCAATTCCCATCAAGGGTTTTTTCTTGGCTTCTTTTCAGCAGTATCAGTGATTAGTGTCGCTGGTTTGGCACTGCTTGCTTGCTTGCGCTAGTAGGCCCTGTAGGCCCAGGTGGATTTTCGAGGTGCACCTCAGATCTAAAAGAACTGTCCGAAAAAGAACATGCACCGCTCTGAATTTGTTTTCGTTTGGCTCTGCATCTCCCCTGGATTGCTGTAATCTTTTCGGCCAAACTTGCTGTCATCCACCTCGCACGTTCGCCAGCGAGAAAGAAGAACTCCGATCTTCGCCCGGGGAAGATGCCTGGAATCCAAGTGACTTGGGACCTTTCCTGCAAGATCCCTTTGCACACTTGGCAAGACTTGGCTCCCAAGACCCCCAGAGCCCAAAACTGGACATGTCCCTCTGCTTGAGCCATCAATGGCGCCAGAAACACGTGGCAGGTCGGCCCAGAACATGCTGACTGACCCTCAAAACATCGGAGAACCGCCCGGAAAACAACACGTCGGGACGGTCGGAACGTCGGCCCGCCGACCGCCTGGTGTTGGGTTCCGGCAGGTCATATATGCCCAGCGCTGCAGCCGTTCCAGAAACATGGAGCCTCACTTGGGATGGCGGCGGTGGTCAGAGGTCAATTTCACTTGGGCCCCAGCGATAGAGTTGTATCATGCTGTATCAACATCACACCAGACCTAGTAGTGCGATGATAGCATTACTTCTCAACTCCTTCTTCACAGAGAACTCCGGCAGTCCTTCCGCTGAGCGTGGCCGAGATAGGAAGTTGGAAGTTCCAAAGTTTGAACCTGACGCGGGATGCTGGGATCATTTGGCCAGGATATCGCCTCATTTGTGGTGGCAAGAAGTACTGGTTATAACACATCAAGATGTCTATGTCGCGGCCGAGTGTTCTGCCAGCCAGGGACATTATATTGCCAAACGCATGGTAGGAGCTCAGCTGCCAAGAAGCACATTCGTGGAGAGAATGTAATGATCGACCAACTTCTGTTGGTACAGGAAGGTGTGCAAAGCTTGGGTTAATCCGTGATCGTGATTGATATCGATTGATATAACCCCCCTCCCAGGGGTAAATCCAGGAGTAGGCAAAAAACAAAAACAAATCTGATAATCAATCTATATAATCGATAGAACGCTTAAAAGGACATTACAGTAATCCCTTCCACCTATTAGCCAATTAAAAAAGGCAGATATTGTTTGTTATAGAATATACATAGGGATCTAAGTCTATATATGTCTATATAAATATATATATATATACATATATATATATAGCCCTGGCATGTTGGTGAGATTGGGGCAAGAGTCAAGAGGATATCCTAGCCAGACAGAAAGCCAGACAGTTCGCCAGAGGAGCAAATGGGGGGGCAGGATGGGGAAGGGTTTTTCTGGGGAACTAACAAAAAAGACGCTCCCCAATTTTCTTATGTCTGTAGTTTCGTAGTTGTCTAAATAATAAGAAGGTTTAGATAATTTGAAATGAAAAGAGACTCTATTTAGGGCCGGTCCTCCGCCATGAAGTTGTTCCACTTCAATCTAACATCATATGTTTGTTAATAGTACTTGGGATTGAAAGGGCAATCAATCGGAATTGAATCAAGGAAGCTTCGTAGGTCCTGGAGCAACGACGTTTCAGCGCTTGATCGGCCAAAACGTCCGATCGATCAGCTTTCCGCAGCAATTCGTGCCAGATCAGCTGCCCTGAAAGGGGTCTGAAACGAGGAAGCAGAACCTGAGACAGAAGGAAACGAGACGGGGAGAGGGCAGTTGGTGCTACTGTTGGAAGAACTTCTGCATGTTTCCCCCAACCAAATATGTATACTTTTCAATCCAATGCCCTGCCCTGACCACGCAAGGTGTTCCTTTCAGCCTATTTCTAGAGGATTGGCACCCTTCGGAGCAGGCGCCATGAGAGAGCATGTGCTTTATTGGTGTTTTGTCCATGAGGAAGCGGACAGAGAGCGCCAGCCATTTTCAACTTGTTCAACCGGTTCGACCCGTCTTTGCAAGTACCAACCACCATCACCCCCCAATCTGTAGGGGTTCACTTCTTCTCAAAACCAGCTAATCGGAATTGTTTTGCGGTCCGCTCTTCGGAATTCTCAGCAGCCCCCGACGACGATCCGCACGCGCCCTGGCACCTTCTTGGTCCGCCGTTTTCTCCGCCGTTTTCGGCGAAGAAAAAGACCGTTCACCTGCAGCGTTGGCGTGTGGAAGCTGGGACCTGCCCAGACGTTGGGTTGGAAGGCCGTGGTTTAGATTGAGTGGGTTAAGATAGGGGTGTGTAGTTTAAAGAGGGACACCTCCAAGCAAGAGGTTTTTTGTCTGGTCAAAAATCCCGAACCGAACCCAGTGGGGGGTCGGAACGCCTGGGGGCCCAATAGAAACCTTTACCTTTTTAAGAAACCGAGCTCCGAATGGGGTGTTCCAAAGGACCAACACCCAAAACCATGTCCTGTAGAAAGAGGGGATGTTCCACAGACAATGACAGTGGAAGGCCCCTACTTTCATGTCTATCAGGAGACCAGCTGCGCTGGTTGTTTCAAACCAGCTGGCATGAAACCCAGCCCAATGGAATCAGGGTAATTCGTGGCGCGACATGGCCCACTTCCATTTCAGTAGAGTAGGGAATATGGCCATCGTCCGGGTCTCAAGACCATCCGGGACGTCCGGGAGGTGTTCAGCTGTGTCTTGTTCACATCATGTTTGTCAACAAATCGAAGACATATCCCGACTCCAAAACACGGCAAAGATCTGGATGGGTCCGATCTCTTGCCAAGTCTTATTAAAAAGACTCTTCAGTATATAGATGTCAAACTGTTAATAGTAAACAAAAAGAACTAGATATTGAACAAATCTTATTAATGCCAAACTATCGCTGCATCAATGTCAGGATGTTCCACCACCGCCCACCGTCGCCCGCAGTCAGGTCGTCGTGCTGAACACGCTTCGCTAAGCCCTCCACTGGTGCGCGGGTTGTGCTGAGTTGACGCAGGTGGCTGAGAAGGAGAGGGAAACTTTCCGAGAGATGATCATTATTCTTCGCCTTCAATGACATTTGGTTTGGAAGACGAAGAGCGACTAGCAAAAACCACAGACAAAACACATGAATTCCAGAAAGACAACCGGCTCCTCTTCTGTCACTAGTTCTAATATAGGCCGGGGTCCAAAAAGAGGTTCCATTTACCATTGGGCTTGGGAGGCGCCGCTTGTGAGACGTCCGAACATCAGTGGTTGCAACCTGACACATGTGAAGCGCGAATGTTCTGGCTTGAAGTGCAATCCTGGATTTGCTTAAGGTGATGATGGGTGATGTGTATTTTCCCAATGAGTGCGTCGTCTCCTTCTGGGGAAAAAGGGGATCTTTTCCGGGTTTGTGAGGCACCTTCCAAGCAACCCACACCCAAGAATTCACGCACCTGAAGCCACATCCAAGCCCTGACACATGTGAGACATTCGTTGGAAAAACACAAGCCACCTCTTCCTTCGGGTGCCAAAAGCAAAAATATGAAAGGATCGTTTGGGTTTTTGTGATCGTGCGATGTTTATATATTATGTAAACAGTTTTTTGTTTTAATAGTTTATTTCTTATGTTTTTTTCGAGCTGGGTGAATCCCCTGGTTGATTTCAATTTTATTTGTATAAGTCTCCAGGCCTCCTGGACAGCAAATCCAAGGTCTTCCTGGGAAACGACCCATGGGCAGCATCACCATGTACCAGTCAGACGCAGATCGGACGGACCCCTCTCCGACGCCCAAATTTTGGGTCGACACCGTCCAGCTGCGCTGAAGCTGCATCGTTGCTGCGCTTCGCTCCCGAAGTGACGCGAGAGATTTGGGCAGGCTGAAAAGAGCGGGTCGCTGTAAAGTCCTTTTCGATTGTGCGGAAGTTTTATCGAATCAGGACGAAGACCAAAGAATGTTGTGCATCTCGATGCCCCTCCCAAGATTCATGTAAAATCGCTAGAAGGCCATTTGAGCTCCCTCTTGAGAGGAAAAGGCATCAAACGGTATAAAGGGGATTGTTTTGGAGACATGATGCTCCAAAGTGGTCAATCAGAGTCTACATAAAGTCATAAAGTCCCTTCTTTGTGTATGCAGTACTCATGTTTTACCTGTTTGTTTGCAGGGAGGCTGCAAGAAAACTAAACCACCAATACTGTGACTCAAAAGTTGTTGTCTTGCAAACTACAGGCGCAATTTGTCGTCTCCTGCCAAACTAATGCACCCGCGAAATTGGGTTGTGGAAACGTACATTCATCAGCCATCCAGAAGCACAGATTTGCCGTTCCATCAATCTAACCGCATTCGTTTTTGTTTATTTGGAGATGAAGGGTCTCAGTGAGATGCTTGGCCTGCCCAAAGCAGACTGCCGCAGGGTATGATTTGCAAGACTCAGTCTTTTGTGCGTGCTGTACCGTGCTGTACCTAAGCTATTCCTGTCTGCTGGTGGGGCCAAAACAACGCCAGGCCTGTCCGGCCAAAAGCGGCCAAAACCCACTGCTTAGCTACTTTTCGTCGTGGGACTCCCAAAGGGAAGCGCTTCATTCGCCCTGCGACGCGAACAAAAGTAAGCGCGTTTCTTTTTTTGAAGTGTGGTAGGTTCTTTGCTTTTAGCAAAGTGCCAATCACTCATTGACTCATGCAGATGTTATTCCAGACAAACTCCATGGGACTGACTGCCATATTTATGATGATTTACTTAGAGATAGCACATTGGGGCCTTGTGAGGGTGCTTGAAAGCGCAAAGCGGGGTCAACTTAGGTCATTTATGGCATGTATGAACATAATTTGCAATAGTTATTACAGGGACGGTATATACAGTAAGTGTTTGGGTCGGTCGTTTCTGCATGCTCCTGCCATGTTTGGGCCCTTGGGTTCCCAGTTCCTTCAGAGGTCTTTCACCAACCACCGTCAATGCGAATCCAGCGCGTTTAGGACCTCGGCCGGGCGACTCGAAGTGGTCACGTAAGGCGACCTCTCGCGATTTTTTCTCAAAGCAACGGAGGTTGAAGAGCCCCATAAGGTACCTTGGGTTCTATAGGTACCTTTTTGATCCTTTTTGGTCGATATATCCATGACTACCAAAATTAGGTACCCCATAGGTACGCCAGGTTCCGTGTCCTATTTACGGTCACTTCACCTCTTTTGGACATGTCCTCTCCCGGAGTCGTCCTCGCCAGGTTCGGATGAAGAAGCAACACATCGCACCAGTCGTAAATCCCATGCAACTCTAGATCCCACATACCACTGCACAGCTGTAGAAGATCTTTGCACCCAATGCACGAGGTCTCGTCATGGAGGACGCGTGGTTGGAATTATTGTATGTATACGAAGCCTGGGGTGTTAGTAGCCAGACGTTCCCATGCAAGGAAGGCGAAGCAACGCTGCAAGTGGCGGATTCTGACTCTACTTAGCTCTACCCAGCGGGTTTGGTTTTAGTCTTTGGAATGGTTTGTTCATGTCGACTCTTGATTATGTTTTCACCCCCCAATTGAATTGCGACACCTCTGTCAAGCCTGGGGTTATTGACATAATATAAGCGAATATCATCAAGAGTCTCCTGCCCAGCCCCCAAGGCGTCACCCACGTCACTCTGCGCCATGCCTGGTGGGGAGCCGGGCGCCTGGGTGGCCACATGTGGCCACCGCCCCCCTCGCAGGCCTGGCACAGAGGAGGCCGCCGCCCAGAGGAGGCCGATGCCGGGGCGAGCGGGACGGTGCGGTGTCCGGTGCCGTGTCCGGCGGTGTTTGGCGGTGCGGTGTCCGGAGCGAAGCTCTTTGTTTGGACGCAGCTGACGATGGTTTAGGACTCAGTCGACTGTTTCATATTTGGCCATGAACTATATATATGAGGAAAGTGGTTGAAATGGGTGGTGCGGGATCTCAGAGCATCGTGCCTCAAGTCAAGGTATCCGGTGGGTGTCGATTCCAAAATCGCGCTTCAGCACTGGGCCCCCCAGCAAATGGCCAAGATACTTGGGTCAGTACCTGGGTCATGGTGATAATTGGTGTCCAGTAGACTACCGCGCTTCTGGACCTCCATTGGATGATCTTGGTATAGCTTCTATGGTTCTTGTCATGTTTTTTGTTTTAAACCAGGCTGGATTGCCTCAAGAAACCAGAGCAGTCTGTGGATATTATATAGTTACGTTTTTTTTTTTTAAACTTCTTACGTGTTCAGGTGAAGCGGGTTTGGCCGGTGGATTTTTCGTTTTTCAGCGTCACTCGGTCACAAGAGGAAGATGAACATGTTGTTATCGTGCAGCAAGAGACCTGCAAGGAACATGGAAGGCCCCAAAGGCGGCAGGAGCCGCTTCCCAAAAGCCTCGGAGACTTGTCCCACGGGTGGGTGGGCAGGATACGAAAAAAACGATCATTGTGACTCGGACGAACGCACTTACTGGACCTTGACTTGGTTTACTCTTTTGGGTGGATTTGGATGGACATGTTCAGAGAGATGTTCAGCGAATTTCGATGCCAGGAGAAGCTGCCAGCACCCAGCAAGGCGAGGGAGATGGGATGTTGGAGACACCGAGTTGTCCAGGGGTCAGGGAGTTGGGAGTGGAGGTGTTGAGATGTGAAGGACTCAGTTCCACGTTCCTTTGAATTGGTCATGTCCATGTGGCTTGGGCTGCATTGGGCTGCCCTGACTCATGCGCTTGCCCATGGTTGCCCCGTGTTCGGTTTCATCCATTTTCGCCTCGTTTGGCTAAAGTATTTTTTTTGCCAAGATGACAGATCCCGGATAAAGGAATTTAGATCTTCTCACCCATCTGTCTTGGCGTTTGACGAACGCAGAACAATGGGCCCCGTTTCACCTCACCTGCGACGACCGTGTCACACCTGCGAAGTTCGGAATCGAGACGCGCTCTGTCAGCGGCAATGCACGGACAGATGAGTTGGGGGGGTTGAGTTCGTTCCGTATATTTGGATGTTTCGTTCGTGGGCGGAAAACCGGCCGAGAGAGCAGAGCGCCAAGGTAAGCTTCATTTTCCACCCACTGATGTTGCCAGCAAGCTTGAACAGCTGCAATAAACCCCATTTTTCCATATAGCCAAAAGGTTCAAAGGGCGGGTGACACAACAAGTTTTGAACATGGACCAGTCTTGAAATGGGTTTTGTGCCGTCTATCTTTTGAACGAGTCCTTCGTCCAACCAGTCTGACTAGTCTAAAATCCGGTCGTGCCACTCTCGTGCATCGAACTGACGAAGGAGCCATCTCGTGCCACCGCCCCTGACGTCGACGCTGGATGTGTCCCTAGGCTCCTGGCCCACACCCTCAGAAGGTGGTTAGACCATGTTAGACCCCCCTGGCACCCACCCCAACCACCGAACCTCAGGAAGTGGGCCAGGAGCCCTAGGGTTTCGCATCGTTTTGGGTTCCCAAAGACCCGGAGCTCGGGAGGTCGGACGACTGGGGACGACGGGGTTGGACCGCACTGCACCGGACGACTGGGCAGGTCCGCAACTGGGAGGTTGGTGGATGAATAGGCTAGGTGCTTCTGGGAAAGGGTCCAACATGGTCAACCCAAATCAGTCGAGGTCGAGGTCCAGTCCAGCCAAATGACACCCTCGCGAAGTAACAACACCACCATGGGCCGGTCGACCGTGTACTCGCTGTCTCCGGTGAGGCCGGCCTCGGTCCCAAAGGCGCCAGGCTGGAGAGACATGGAACGTACCCGTTCCCTTCGAAGGGAGTGCGGGGAAGGGTGTCTATTTCAATTGAACTTGATAGACATCTGCAAATACTAGGCGCGCAAATATGTTTTGGGATGTTTTGGGGATGCTTTAAATCACCCACCAAATGCGAAATACTAGTCGTTTAGAAGGGATGCCCACCTTGGTGGTTGGTGTGTGAGGCCTGGACAATTTGGCTTTAGTGTCGGGAAGGGGAATTTAGTGACTACTTGGAACATCTTGGAACATCCAGCTTGATTGTTCATACTAGGCATACAGGCCATTGTCAGACCAGCCACATGCCAACGTTAGATCACATTTGGCTGGCAAACATCGCCAGGAAGCCCATGTGTTAAATGCTTGGACATCGACAGTGATGGTGTCCCGTGCAAATCGCCTGATCCAGCAGCTTGTGCAGCTTCGTTCCCACAGATGGACTGAAGCTGCGCACGATGGACTGAGATTAAAACGGTGTGACTGCAATGGATGCCAAGAATGGCCTCGAGCAGGAAAAACAATGGGGACATGACTCAGCTGATTCCACAGCCGAAGGAAGCACAATCGGTATGTGGCAGTTGGCCAAAAGCTGGTGGATGTGAAGAGGTTGCAACCGTGAGAAGCACCCATTTGGTTTGCACCACTGCCGATGTCAGGACCTCGTTCCTGATCAGATGCACCAGAGACTGCACAGGCACAGACTGGACAGCCTTCTCATTTTGCCATCATTCCGACACCTGTTGTGTTGGGGTGGAGCCGATCAAGGTGGTGGAGGATTTGCAGAAGCTGAACTGTGGCGCCCAGGAAGAGAAACAAACACATGCCCAGCAAGCAATCATGCATTAAGCCTGATTTAAAAGAACGTGGACATCAAGATTCCACCACGCCAGAGAACGGACGGCGGCTCATATTGCGCACGCAAGAAGCCATATTGCTTGCGGAAATCACTAAGCTCGCTATATAAATCCTTTTCGACTTTTCCCAAAAAGTTCGGAATATGGCACCAGATAGATGGTTTGCTTCTGAAAATCTCGCGGCTAGCATTTTGGTGGGCTGATTTGGTATTCCTCACCCGCCGCATGTGTGTTAGCTGCATCACGCACGGCCACAACCAGACACGGTGTGGCTTTGTTGGTGAGGATTTGTTGATATTTTTAAAACTATGTTTTTGGGTGGCTTTGCTAGGTTGTTCCATGTTGTTCCCTATGGGGTTGTAGGATGCTTCCCAGCAGTGTGGTCCCCTGGTACCTTGGAGGAGGGTGCAGATTTTCGGTTGTGGTGGTGTTTTGATTTTTAGGGTTTGGTTGGTTTGGCTTGAAAAAGCTGGAGGGGTTGGGGGGGGGCGCAGCCGAGGTGAGTCAGGTTCCCAAAGCTGACAGTACAAGTTTTTCAAGACAAGGCACCGCCACCCCCCACCATGGCAATCGCTGGGCACCCCATATTTTTTTTTCAACTATGCTGACTGAGTCAGAGTTTCGCAGAAGAGGGTTGATTGAGCGCCGAACAAATTGAACGAGTCACTAAAATCAGGTCACCTGCCAATCATGTAGATCCACGATTGAAAACTACAATCAAACATCCATAGTCATAGCAAGGTGAATTTGGGCCAACAACGGCCAACACACCCAAAAACACATTCAACATATCTGTGCTCTGGACAGGAGTTGAGAGGCAACCGTTAAACTATGACAGCAACTGACACATTTCACCTCAATGGCCGAGACAAATGTCTGCCAAACCTAGTGAAAAACGTGCGTCTCATCAATGGAAGCGCTGCCGCTTGACCATATCATGGGAGAATCACGCAGCCACAAACAAATGATCATCTAGCGTTGCGTCGTTCAGACTGGCCTTGTCATTTTTTGTTCCGTGACAGATTGGGCTGTTTGCATCTCTTATCAGTGAACAACAACATCATCCATACAGTAGTCCCCAAATAGATTCAAAAAGATAGAACCGATTTCCCACATTTTCTCATCATGTTTTTTGTGGAGATCGATTTTTCTATCTATTTGAGGGTCTATATAATGCACATCCCAACGGTACTATAAAGTACTATATACCTTTTTGGGGTCTGCCTGCGCAGATCTGCTGATGACCACAAACAACCAGTTGGATACACATTTTGTTTTTTGTTCGCAGAAAGAAACAGGTTGGGGGTTGCAGTGCAGCTTCCAACCTTAGCACCAACCACTCAGTACAAAATTCATGCATATATAATGAACACAAAAGACAACCGCCGACGCTCGTTAATTCAGAAGTTCATGTTCAGAGTCAAATCAAAAAGCGACGTCATTACCTTTCTGACAAGAAAAATGGGAAAGTAGTTGCACAAACAATTTCTCTTAATTCACTTGTGGTCTTCAACGTGTACCACATACCATTTCCTCACGGCCCTGTAGTCATATCGGTTAATTTGGGTGGTGGGTGACTGGTTGATTCTGGAGACTTGAAGACGTGAAGACCTTAAAAAAAGGAAAAATAACATAAATTGGAAGACACGTCCCACTCCGAAATCACCTGGTGGGACGTGAAGACCTTTCGGAGTGGACGTGAAGACGCGAAGACCTTTGGAAGACATTGATTCCGGACATCACCTGGTCCCACTCCGAAATCCCATCCTGAAGGCTGAGATGATTTGGATCTTGTACCGCCGATTCCTTGGTTTAAGGGAACATCTGTCGTTCGATTACCATCATGTTCACCCCCAAAACTATGGATCTTGCGTATATAGATGTTCCAAAAAAAGAAGAGAGGTTTTTTGAGACCAGAACGTTCAGACCCTGGTCTGTGACACTGGTCTGTGGTATACCTATGGGGATGGGCGACCAAGACGGGCTGTTCACCCGCCACTCGACCTGGCCAGGCTGGTCGTCTCGCGCCGTGGACGCGCGCGGCCGGTCAACCGCGACCGGGCACGTCCAGGCGCACCCGGGACATCAACCGGGTCCGGGGGGCGGGAAGGAAGGCGTCAATTGACCGGGAGTCGGGTCGGGAGAGTCGGGACCTAAATACCGTGGTGTTCACTGGCACCAAGTAACTAACCCCAAAGGCCCAAGGCCCAGCCAGTTTGGTGGTTTTAGATGGACAAAACCATCTCAAAGTCATCTTGAAAGGCAAACGTGCCATCGAACCTCTTGAACATACGGAAACTGGAGTTGGTCTGGGGGGCATTTGGATTTCGCTTTTTTTTCTCAAAGGACTCTTTGAGGAGTTCAATGGTCATTCCCATGGCACGCAAGTAGAGATGGAAGGCTGCGAAGGCCGTCATCCTGCCAGCTAACGCTACGACCAAGGTTTCCTAAAGACCCTTTCCCCCCCCAAAAAAAGGGGAGATTTGGAGGAGGCTTGTTGTTGAGTTGATGATGCGGTTCTTCAAAGTAGATTTTTGTGTGTTTGGTTGTTCACTGGTGACGAAACGTTTGGTTTTAGTCATGGGTTTGGGTGGCTTGTCTCTAGACCAAACCACACATGGCAGGTGATTTTTCGAAGAATGGGTACACGAGGTCCACACGAGGTCCACACGGGAGGTACACATTGCAGAGGCGACTGTGCCATTGAGTTTGTACATGATCCCGCCCTTCATGGGGCCAGATGCCACCTACCAAGCCAAATGCCGGTCCAAATGCCCCTTGGTTTGGTTGTGTACTTTGAGGCCGTGAGACACCCAATGAGTTCGCTCAAGTGTCCTTCTTCCAGGGTCTCCCAATTTAAATCTATCAAAAAAAAAACCGTTTGGAGTTTTGAGTGGATGATCCTTCACAGGATGATCCTTCACAGAACTGGTTTCCCATTGACCCTTTTTCAACCAAGCCTCCCCAACTGATCCGGACGTTGGTCCCGTGTTTTGGGGATAGTGTAAGAAACTGCGAACGTCTCACATACCAGACCATCCCATGACATCGCTGACTTGGGACATGTCTGTCTGAAGTCTGCACGAAATCTACTCCACTGGGGCCTTCTTAAACTTGCCCGAAAGCCCAGGAGGTGTCCGGAGAGGTCCTGATGTTCACATGTTTCAAAGCAAAAAAACGACCGCCCGACCGCTCGTCTTCTCCCGTCTTGTTTGGGAGGCTCCCGCTCGCGGGTGGTGACCAAAGCAGGCGGCGGCGGGAGATGTCCGGTATTCTCATCGAATCTCGAGGTTTTGAACGCTCGCGTTCGAGGTCCCAAAGGCCATCTCCCAAACCTGAAAGCAACACAGACTCGGACCGTAAGCTGGGGTACCTATGTTAGTCGAACTATAGGGTCCTGAACAACCATTGTTGGTCGTTCAGGTTGAATTCTGCCCAATCTGTTGAGAACCATGAACCATCACCCCGATTAAAAGAAATAGGTACTGAGTACCCATTTTCGAAGCCGTCTGAATCTGCTGGAATACTAGTATGCTAGAAACATTAGATAAGATATATATTAGAGAAAAAACAATCGCAACCGCCTTCTGAGAGAGTATGAACTACGAACATGTATAGCGTAGACATCGGTATACATCGTATAATACCCTTTCATTTCCTCACAAGTCACGGAAACTGCCTGAGAAGAAGCACATGTGGTCCCCACTCGCGTCGCTGTGGTATGGGGTGGTGCCTAGCTGACATGGTCCGTCCCACCGAATTCAGCAGTTTTCTTGAGCTTCGCTCTCGGTGAACCTTTGATGACGTGTTTTAAACCATCCTGCTTCCTGCTTCGTAAGGAGTTTCATGTTTTCCGAAGGGACCAGGGAACATCCTCTGGATGGGCGTCATCCAGAGTTTCTATCCAAGTCATCCTGAGTTGAATGACTCGGACATATCTTGCACTTCTTAAGAACCACTGAAGGCTTGCTTGATCAGGTGATTTGGTATTTTGCCTATTTTTGGGTGAGGCCTCCCTTGTTTGTTCCGGTTCCTGGACAGCAAGATGGGCAGTTGTGTGGTCGTTGTGGTGTGTTTTGCACAAGTGTTGAGTCTGAGAGAACGACCGGCCCCTGGTTGGTCTGCATGGAGCTAGTTTCTTTGCTGTGGGAGCAACATTTCTCAGGGCCATTGGAAAACGGAAACAACAAGGAGCCTTCCTGCAGCATATCAATCTCAAGTCATCTACCAAGTTGCACCAATCGCGGATAGATGGGGTTGGCAGATGCTGAGCAGTGCATTAGACAGGCTGCAACTGAGCAGTGCGTGCTTGAGGATTCTTCATCAAGAAGCGCTAGAAGAGCAATTTCACCTGATCACACTCTCAGAAAAGAGAGTCATTAGTAAAAGCCATGTTTGGTCGCGATTGCTTGGGGGCCAGCGTTGAACCTTCAGGATCAAACTCTGGACACAAACAATAAATAGACATAAGGGGAATGTTCGTCATCACCCATGCCCACTCAGCAACATTCAGCAACTCAGATACTAAAGCTCAGACGAATTGGCTGTGATCCGCCAAAGCCAATTCCCTGGTGCACTTGGCGGTGATGACCAACGGTAGAACTCGGCAATCTCCATGCAGAATCGGGTTAAGACCCCTCACACTGACATGAAACTGTAACCCTCAAAAGCCTCTTGCTTGCCGTTGGTGAAAACGGCGCAAGCAAGCGCGCGCCGGGGGCGCAAGCCGCTTGGAGCCGGCGGCTTTGCGCCATGCCCTGGTTGCCGGATGGTACCTTTGCACGGGGTGAGAAGTGGTTTGCCAAGAGAGGCAGGCCCAAAAATCACACAGAGGACCGAGGGACTGATTGACGGACCGAGGGACGACTCAGTCGGATATTCCGTGGAGGGGAACGGTGGGACCCATGCTTCAGGGGAGCGGGAAGGTTTGGGACTCACGCTGAAGAGCGTGTTTGGATCGGTGTATTCGTCAACCTGTTGTTTGCCCGCAAGGATTGTTCATGCAGAATTCATATCAATCCCCCAATGTCCCAGAACTCTCACATGCATCCCAGGTTTGTGCCCGTGCCGCCCTCCAACCTCAGGAGTTCTGGGCCAAGTACGACGGGTACGGCTGCATGGCCTTCGAGGCGCGGAGAAAACTTCCACCTGGCGCTTGGAATTGGTTCGACCTTTTGATTTGTGTTTGTTTTTTCCTTTTTTTTCCGAATGCAAAACAGAGGATGGTCCAAGTGATTGCTTGAAGCGTCCGACGAAGCGTGAGAAAACGACAAGACATTTGAGGTCCTTGGAGTCCTTGGACCTCAAAGGCCATTGGTGAGATTCTTGGTGCTTTCGACACCTCAGGAGCCCAAGAAATTGGATGAACGTTGTGATGCAGGGAAACTCACAAGAGAGGAAACCAGGTCATGGGGTCCATCTCGGGTCGTCCTGGCCGAACATGGGAATCGCTTTTAGCTGCTGTCGAAAGCCCGGTGTCCATTTTTGACAACTTAGACATTAAAACAACTCCCTGCAAGATGTGCATCGTTTTCTCTTAAGAATTGTTGAGCCCGGTGCAAGAGACAGACCCACACCATGGATTCCAGATCCGGATTTGTGGTCAAAGCATGTCGTATTCCGACAACCACAAGTAAAACCACCATTCATGATGTCGATATTACATCATATTCTGTTTCATCCTTTTGCCATTTTCTCAAACCTTCCCACACTCCTTGACTCTTGACTCAAACCTCCTTGGAACCAGGTTGGCGAGACGGGTTTCTCGGTACTGCACAAGGCCGCGGCCTTCGGTTGGCCACAACAGGCGCCGGGCCGTGGCTAGTCCGGTGGCGTAGTTGGCTGGTCTTTTGAAGACGCAGAGGCTAGAATGAGGAATGGCAACCCCCGGCTCATGATGGATACAGCTATTGATGGGATGGTCTTGGATTGTTGATTGAGGATTCTGTTTTAATCTTGTTGTTGCCATCCAATCCAATCTATTTTCGGAATCGACGCGGGTGTACTGGCCGATGTCGGTCTATGAGCAGTGTCGGCCTGTGTCGGTCTATGTCCCAGACAAAAGGCTTGCCTATTATATATAATGTAGTTAACTTATTAGCTTATGTAGTAGCTTATGATTGTCTATCAATTGAAATAGAAAGGGGTTTGGGAGCGGGACCGTTCAAGAAACATCGACCGTGGCTTCTCTAAGTCTCTGCTGGATGATATTTGGAAGCGACACCTGGATGCTGTAGCTTGCTGCGGCTTATTAAAAAGCTACACTCCCGAGTCAACTCACATAGACCCTGACAATGGCCCGCTGGAAGAGTGTGAAATCCTCTACCAACCAGTGGTGTACTCAGGGTGCATGGGATCGTCTTCCAGGGTGTACCCACTCAGATTATACACGTGTCGTTCCAGCAAGAACCCACTCATCCTTGGCAGCAAATATGATAAAGTAGACACCATGTACGTACTCAGCGGCCTGCACCACTTGAGAAAACTGATTGGCAAAGCACCGAAAAAGAACCAACAACAAAAACAATGTCCTGCACCAAAAAACCAGACACCAAAAACAAATGGGGAAAAAACAAAGATCCTGTCTGCGGGTAAACCCACATGCTTTGCTCATCGTTCTTCTCTCCCCATGGGGCGCGGTTCCGCCCGGTCGCAAGGCGCGGTTCTTGCTGGCCAAGAACCCAGAGATGGTGGAGTCCAGGATCGGCGGTTCGGCACATCGAAAGTTCGGCCGTGCTGGATTTACAGTCATGTATGTAGACCCCATATAGATAGATGGCACGTTGTTCCAATACAGATTTAAGGTGGGCATCCACGAACTATGTCACAAAGGGATACCAAGGGGAGACTCATGACGACTATTCTGACTCATGAGTCTCCGTCCAAAGCGCGCATCGTTCGGTCACACTTTCGGACGGATCCTTCAACGGTACCGACAGCATTTCGTTCGCAGACCGACTCCCGAACCAACGGTTCAATGACTTCCCTGAAACCGTGCGAAAGCAAGGAGCTCCATGCAGTGAAGATGGCCAAAGAGGATAACCTAGACAAGATAGACAAGGGAACTCTAGTGCCGATGCCCAAGGTGGAGACCAGACAAATCCATTTGAACTGCTAGGTCACCAATTGAGACTTGTTAAGGCCCAGCAATCCTCTAAAGCCTGCAAGGAGACCTGGCAGTGAAGGTGCTGGTAGGGGAAATATACTTTGTTGTTATCTTGGTCGCTCATTTCTAGGGCTACTTGCCTAGCATGTGGCAGTCCACTTGGGTGGTTCACAAGTTGATACCCCTTGCTGCTCGATATGAACATCTACAAGGCATTGAGGGTGATTGGATATATACATATGGATATACTATGATAAAGTGTTTTTGTTGTTTTATAATATATCATTTATATCTCATTTGTGGTCTGATTCATTGGCTTCTATGCAGTAGATATCAGGACCAAAGATGACGCGCTGGAAGAAATCAAGGTCTGGAGGCCCTGATTGACCATCATCCTCATGCGGCTGCTCATCTATCCTCATCATCACCCTGATCCTCATTCATCCTTTCCTCCCAACAGAGGTAGCCAGTGCCCTGAACGGAGTTGGACCCGTCGAACTGGGGTACCCAACTGGGATAGTCGAACAGTCGGGTTCTGACCCACCTCTGTTGGTCATCCTCATCCATCCGCGTCGCTGCGGGGGGATTCCGAGACGGCTTCCCCGAGGACCTCCGCTGGCCGCAGCGCGCGCGAGATCGCCGAGAGCGCCTGCCGTGGCAGACGAGACGAGACGAGCCGAGTGACGCGGGGGAGTGCAGACCTCCGGGGGGGGTTCACCATTTGAGCAAGGCCAAAAAAAAGAGTTATACGACATAGGCCTCATCTGGGATAGGAAAACGCCGGGCTTATTCGTGAACGATGGGCAACATCGGAACCAAATAGGAGATGTTTGCAATGGGTACGGGTCATGTTTAAGCAAAAGGCATGGTTTGCAAGGCAGGGTGCATTTGAAAAGAAAAGACGTTCATCAGGCATGTTTCGATTGACTCAAGCATGTGCACCCACCCATTTTGCAGAGAGACAGAAACCATTTTATAGAAACAGAGCGTGCCAGATAGACCTTGCAGGTTGTTTAGGTTTCCTTGGTGCCTTCAGCTGGACACTACCCCCCTTGAATTTATAGAGCCTAGGCCGGCGGCCGGGTTGGTGTGAGAAGAGGAGGGGACCTGAACTGAGAGGTTTGCTAGTTGGATTGTTGAGTGAGAAGGGTTGCAACATGTTGAAAAGACACTGATATGATTGTAACTGCCTGCCAATATTTGCACAGTATATTGTGAAAATTTAGTGGTGGCTTTGGTGCTACAAGCTGGGACAATGCTGGGGTTACACCCTACCCCCCTGATTATACAGAGGCTAGGCTAGGGTGGTTTGTGTGAGAAGAGGAGGAGACTTAGAGGTTTGCTAATAAGATTGTTGAAATATACAGATTTATATAAACATAGTTGAAAATTCCGGATATGATTGTAATTGTTTGCGTATTACTAATTTAGTGGTAGCTGGTAGCTTTGGACATGTTCAGGAGTCACCCCACCAATCACTGCCCACATATCAGCCCCAGCCAATATATATATATACATAAAATCAGGGCCCATGGAGGCTCCCATCCTCCAATGATGATTTTACAGAATTGACTGGGGGTGGTGTGTGGGCAGTGATTGGTGGGGTGACTCCTGAACATGTCCAAAACTACCAGCTACCACTAAATTGAGTTTAAAATGCAAACAATTACAATCATATCCGAAATTTTCAGATATGTCTAAATCCTTCTCTTTCAACAAGCTCATTGGCAAACCTCTCAGTTCAAGTCTCCTCCTCTTCTCACATAAAACCACCCATGCCTGGCCTCTTTAAAGTCAGGGGATACCATGTCAGTGGAAAGTATACTTTTCTAGGAGACAAACACTAACCTAGCAGCATGGCTGTGCTTTTGGTGCCTGGGCGATGGCTTCAAAGCTGCATGATGGCTGTAACACCAAGCCAGATGAACTTGAGGCATTACTTACATTGATGCTAAAATGACTCATTATAGCATCGCGGTAAGTGATGCCTCAGAGTGCGCTAGGGTCAACACTACTAAGACAATCTAAGACTCTAAGATAGAAGCCCAACAACAGGATTACATAATACATGCATGCCTTCCATGGTAGTGCTGAAAGAGTGTGAGTGGGAGACATTGTCAGCCAGTTCCTTGTTTGGCTTGGTTGCTGAGATACTTTCCAGTTTCCCTAACATGGAAGGTGGCTATGGGTGTCCGAGTTCCATGTATCTAGGCCTTTTTAGTTGACCACTTCCATGTATAACTGCGGGAGTGAAAGTTCTTGTTCGTTTCAATAGGTCACCAAAGTCTCATCACTTCACAAGGCAAACCTACTTGATGGCTGGCTTTGGCTTATGGAACTTACAACTTGTTCTGACATATGCTATAATTGTAACAACATAAAGCAAGCGTAGCAAAGCAAAGTGTTTCAGATGAACTTATGGTGTTTTTCAGTTCTTTAGTTTTGTTGTGTGAGTTAGTAGCTTCTTTAAGTTTTCTTCATTGCCATGAACAATTAGGCTTAAAGAACCTATGAGTAACCTAGGGAAGATAACCTTTCAACTGTTTCAAAACTATTGAAACTGATTTTCGATAAGAACCTGTTGTCGTAGGTTTCACACGAACAAGAAACGAAGCTAAGAGCTCAAGTTGAGAAAGCAGAAGGGCAGGAAAGGTTCTATGTTAGAGATGGCGGCTCTTTGTTAAACTATGTTAGCTTACACAGCAATGACCGGTGGCCCTTTGGGCCGTTTTGTTGAAACATTGTTTATCAAAGAGGGCTTGGACTTTGAGGTATGGGGAGGTTTTTGGCGGTTGGCAGCCATCGACTTCCAGCTCTTCCTCTCAAAATTTCCAACCGAGATCAAGTCTCTACAACATTGGCAAGAATCACAAAAAGGGCAAACAAATACTGTACATTAAACGGTACACACTTTTTTGTGCCTGTTTCCCATCGCTTTAGAGGCCACCAAAAAAGCGGCCCGCTGCGCACCTCACCAGACATCTAGTAATTGTCAACCCGAAAAACCCTCACCCACATGCCTTGAGGAAGTCAATGAGACGATCCTCAAGCCTGCAACACGAAGCTTCCAGAAGCACTTCTGGTCTGAACTGCTGGAACATGCACTGTCTTTGGTGGAGAGACTTTGCCGTGACGGTCGTGACGAGGACGCTGCCAAGTACAAGCATGCTTTGGATGGGTATGCGCTCCACCTCTACGAGTGCTGTAGAAGGGCTGCGAAGACTTCACAGCGGATCATGCCGACCTGGACAAGTACATTGAAGCAACAAGACTTGACTTTAGACACTCAGGTCGTGCAAACCGGCAGCCAGCAACAAAAACCAAGTCGGCCAGGCTCGCGTTCCCAGGGCGAGTTGGTCCGTTCCCAGGCCCCTTCGCCAGGCTCGCTTCGAGGCGTCCTTCGGCTGCCGTTCGCCACCTGGCAGCGTCCGTTCGCCGGTTCGAGGCGTCGTTTGGAGTTGCCAAAGCCATTTCCGCAGGTCGCTGGATCCTTGGCCTGAAGAAGTGCCGGACCTCAACCTGGCAAAATGTGACAGGTTAGATTCCCCGAAAGCGCGGAGGACCCGAACAAAGATCTGGATCCAAGAGTCTGAAAAACACGGGTTGGATCATGCGCAAGCAAGCTGGAGCCTTCCCGTTTCCATTGCCCTTGCCCATTTTCCGAATGGCCCAAGAGCAGAACCATCACAAAATATAAGTCAACATGTGCCCAAGCAAGGACTTCCAAGAACGAAAAAAGGAGTATGTGGCAAGGAACCCCTCATTCTCTGCAACCGTGTGTCTCAAATTCTTTACTAAGCGGGTCGCTCTCCCCAAGAGACGCAGCAGAACTCATGGCTCCAGTCAAAACATGTCAAATTGTTTGTAAAATTTGTTTGCCCAGATTCCAAACCTTCAAAAAACTGAGTCTGCAAATTGCGCCAGAGTTACGGAAGATTACGCCGGAGTCACGTCAAGCGCCTTCTGGCAATTCTCTTGCAAACCAAGATTCTGAACAACACACCACAACCCCAAACTTGTCCGAGGTTCCCCCAAACTTGTCCGACAGGTTCTGCAAACCTGCGCAGCTAGAACATGCTAGAACTAATAACTTGATATCCCAGCGCCCTGACACCCTGAAACAGTGGGAAGACATTCTCGCCTATGTTTTTTCAGTTTAGGTACACCTACCTACTTGCGTCTTTCAGCACGTGCATCCCACTGTACCAAATTCATTTAGCGAAACGAATCTGATTGAACCAGAGTGTGAACGGTTGTTGAAACTGATATTATGAGAAAACAGCGGAGCAGGAAAACGAGCACGCTCTGCAAACAAAATCTTTTGCAAACAAAATCAACGAAATGCGGAACACAAAAGAATGCAAAGCCTTGAGAATCCACATACAGTGACGTCGAAGCATTGCCAGACCAAAACGCCAGAGTTGCAAGTCCGGACGGATGAGGACGGAGTAAAGGACTGTGCCGGATGATCGAGGTATACTTTCCATTTCTTCTACCAGTGAAATTGTCGACTGAGGAGGCCACCCTCAATTTCATATTTGGTTTGTGATGGGTCTTCCCCAACAATAACAGTTAAGTAGGGATCCAAGTACCTTCTGAGAAGGTGTTTGGGCTGGGTTTGGAGGGTTCAAACACCTTCTGAGGAGGTACTTGGATCCCTATGAAGAGTGGATAGAACATCCCACACTACGGCGACGTCGTTCTTTTGCGCGAACGGTCCTGTTCGAACGGTTCGACGTCGTGCGGCGGTGCTTTTCGTCGTCTACTAACTAACACCATCCTCAAGCCGTCCTCAACACACCACGCCACAGCACCGCACCGCATCGCTGCTCACTCCGAGGTGCTGTGGCGTGGTGTTTGGCCAAGGGACGGAAAGAGGAGGAGCAGCAGCACCGCGAGGCGTGGAACGTTGAAGTAGACCTGGGGTGTTTGTGCATCCGCGAGACGGGGCGAGACGGGGATGGTTTCATGTTCATGTCATTCATACATGTTTGTTGTACTTTTATGTATCACCGCTTTGATCCGAGGGTGTCCAACACTTGCTCAGTCGCATCCACAACGAGTCTGCATGTGCCACATGGACCGCATGCTGCAGGTGGCAGAGCTTTGCCACTCAGCGGAGCGCGGAGAAACCATCGCCTTTAAGCTCGGCCCCACCTGATGGCGAGGTGCAGCGCTTTAATGGCGGTTTGGCTTGTGTGAGGAAGAATGCTGTTTTGGTGGGTAATAACATCATCTAACATTCGCAAGTCTAATATCACGTCATGGTGTCCAATGAAAGGGTACACTATACAGCAACCCTTGTTCACCACAATGGTTGAAGTCTTTGTAAAATCACTGGCCCCTGGAGGCTCCGGAGGCCAAAGTCCAGGACCTTTGATTGCAAAATCCTGAAGGCCAAATTACTCGTTATGTGGGGTAAATGTGTCACAGTCACAGGATGTTTCAGACGAGCGTGCCATGTACTCGCGGCTGGTTCTAATTTTGACCCTCGGTCTCCAGAATGGGTTCACATCTCTGGGCGTGGGGTGTTTTTATGAATCAACATGAATCAACAGTCTTCATGATCAGGAATCTAAAGACTCCCTTTTCTCCCAACAGTCAGTCCGCGGATCACTGGTCGCCCTGTTAGGTGCAGTGCTGGGGAGAAGTCCCCTCCCAATGTGTGCTTTTTGGGAAAGATGTCGGTGCAAACGACACCAATGGGAACCCCTATGATCCTCTAATGCTGATGAGACGCGTTGGGACCCTCAGCCAATGCTGAAGGATGTGCGATGGTTTGAAGTTCGCGGGGTGGTTTCGTTTCGTGGGTCGCCCCTTTTTTTGGACAGAAGAAACACGGAGTCGCTAGAGACTAGCCACTATTGCTGCCAGTCTTGCAGCAGGGTACTAGTTACTAGGATTATTGCACGGGTATTTGGGGATGGGCCTCATCCTCGCTCCGGTCGACCATGTAGCGAACGACCTTCCAGGTGGTTCTGTTTTCGACCCACCTCAGGCACGACACATGGGACTGCCATATATGCCTACCCCCAGTCAACTACCCCAATGTAGGCATATGGCCTGGCAGTCCCATGGAGTGTCTGGGCATAGCCATTTCCTGTGTTATCAATCACACCAACGGCATTGCTCCATTGCTCCCAGCACTACCCGGGCAGCTGCCTGAGACGTACTGCTTGCCAGGGAGCCGCACCGCGAAGACGTCAGTGAACCTTGTGGTCGAAAAACTGTGCGGTGTGATTGGAGTGTTTAGAGATGGCGTTTGGCTCAACCAAGAGCAGAATGAGGACCCTCAGATCAGGTGTTTCATGGCGTTTCTTCCTTTTTTCAAGGGGTTTTGGGATGTTTGGGCGTGGATTCTATATTTTGGGGCCAAAGTGGGAAGACAAGACCCTTGATATAACCGACGTGAGCATACTAAGCGGACTGAAGGAGCATTTGTTGAGTCACTGGAATTTGTTCAAGGTCTGAGAAGACACGGAATGTTGAACATCCACAGTGAAACACTGGAAGCAGTAAATGTATCACAGTCATTTGATACCAGTTGGACCTAACAAACCAACGATCTGCGAAAAAAGGATCCACTTAAACCACTATCCATTTTGGAGATACAGAACCGCTGAGCACTGCTGCGCATGTTTCCGGATTTGAGCGCCACGATCACCAATGGGGCTATTATGGACTATGGCGATGCTGCCAGCCATTAATCAAAGATACTTTGTGGGTGAGCAATCACTGCTGAGATCATGACAGAAAGTACTACAACTAGACATAGAGAGTCCGGTGTAATTCTATCCGATTGGGCATCAGGGCAAGCACGTCGGACGTTCGAGGTTCTGTTGACGTTACTTTCACCTTCGAGAGCCAAGGTAACCTTTCTTCTTGACTGGACCAATTTACCCCAAGTTGGGTGGTTTATATGGACCCCCATCTGTCTAGGACATTCTAGGACATCTTGTGGGAAACGTTCCATGTAATTTGAAACCACTTGTCAAGAGATGTATCTCCTTGCACTTCACGAGTTTGCTTTGGGATAACCTCGCCCGCGGTCGAAGTCAACGGTCCCACCACCCGGCTTGGCCATGTAGCATAAGAAGGTTCCTTTTGCCGGCTATACAGATCCACCTGGGTCTAGGATCATCCACATGTAGATGGACATCCATGTCCACAACTTGTCAGCAGAGTTTCAGGGGAAGTCGTAGACCCCTTTCCCACAGAACCTCTTCATCCTCAAACACTCAGACCTTTTTCCCGAAAGCATTGCGAAGGGTTCTTCCGGAAAATCCTTTGAACACTTACACTTCGACACTTACACTTACATACACACACACTGGACGAGCGAAAGCATCCAAGTGCGAAGTATGCCAGTGTCAAAGTATGCAAGTGTAAGTATGCAAGCATGATATGCAAGGGTGAGTATGCAAGCACGCAATGAGTATACAAGCATGCAATGAGTAGGCAAGTGTGAGTATGGAAAACTAGCACGGGAGATGTCCTAATGAAAAAACATTTCCCCACTTTATAAATTCTCTCTTAAGGCGGAGTGCGGGACGAACAGCGTCAACCGAAAGTGCAACCCTCTGCGGAGATCGTGCGTGTCGAGTGCGCGAAATGCAGGCGAGAGTGCGATTTGTCCGGTGCGCGCGCAACCCTCTGCGGAGATCGTGCGTGTCGAATGCGCGAAATGCAGGCGAGAGTGCGATTTGTCCGGTGTGCGCGCAACCCTCTGCGGAGATCGTGCGTGTCGAGTGCGCGAAATGCAGGCGAGAGTGCGATTTGCCGGGTGTGCGCGCGACCCTCTGCGGAGATCGTGCGTGTCGAGTGCGCGAAATGCACGCGAGAGTGCGATTTGCCGGCTGCCCGCGCAAGCCTCTGCGGAGATCGTGCGTGTCGAGTGCGCGAAATGCAGGCGAGAGTGCGATTTGTCCGGTCCGCGCGCAACCCTCTGCGGAGATCGTGCGTGTCGAGTGCGCGAAACACAGGCGAGAGTGCGATTTGTCCGGTCCGCGCGCAACCCTCTGCGGAGATCGTGCGTGTCGAGTGCGCGAAATGCACGCGAGAGTGCGATTTGCCGGCTGCCCGCGCAAGCCTCTGCGGAGATCGTGCGTGTCGAGTGCGCGAAATGCAGGCGAGAGTGTGATTTGCCGGCTGCCCGCGCAACCCTCTGCGGAGATCGTGCGTGTCGAGTGCGCGAAACACAGGCGAGAGTGCGATTTGGTACGCAACTCTAGTACGCAGAGTAGCTGGGGAGCTGGAAGCGGAGAACTGGCGATGCGGCAGTGCGAGAGTAGTGCGCGGAGTAGCTGGGGAGCGGGAAGATGAGAACTGGCGAGTGGGTAGTACAACTGGAGGGCGTGGAGTATCTGGGGAGCTGGAAGATGAGCACTGGCGACTTTGTAGTACAACTTTAGTACGCGGAGTATCTGGGGAGCTGGAAGCTGAGAACTGGCGACTTTGTAGTACAACTTTAGTACGCGGAGTATCTGCGGAGCTGGAAGATGAGAACTGGCGACTTTGTAGTACAACTTTAGTACGCGGAGCAATCTGTGGAGCTGGAAGCTGAGAACTGGCGACTTTGCAGTACAACTTTAGTACGCGGATGAGTCATCTCTCGCGGCTGAGTCATCTCTCGCAGCTGCTCTGGCGCCCCTGCAGCTGAGTCATGTCTCCCAACCACCCGGCTCTCTTGAGAGGTTGACACACACAAACAGAGACCCACGCACTGCCTCAACTTACTCGGAGACACACACACAGACAGAGACTCACACACACACAGACATAGATACGCACACACAGAGACCCACACACTGCCTCAACTCACTCGACTTAACACTTCACACTGAACACTTGTAACAGGCAGTGGAAGCCAGCTTGCTGGCTGCCATTGTCCAGATGGAAAGCCAGCACGCTGGCTACCATCATAGTTGAAGTGGGTAAGCCAGCACGCTGGCTGCCATTGTTGAGATGGCAAAGCCAGCACGCTGGCTACCATCATAGTTGAAGTGGGTAAGCCAGCACGCTGGCGGCCATTGTTCAGATGGAAAGCCAACACGCTGGCTACCATCATAGTTGAAGTGGGTAAGCCAGCACGCTGGCTGCCATTGTTGAGATGGCAAAGCCAGCACGCTGGCTAGCATCATAGTTGAAGTGGGTAAGCCAGCACGCTGGCTGCCATTGTCCAGATGGCAAAGCCAGCACGCTGGCTGCCATCATAGTTGAAGTGGGTAAGCCAGCACGCTGGCTGCCATTGTCCCCTTACCAGCAGCCCAAATGCTCACGACGATGAGCTGGGCTGTCACCGCTTGGCCGCCGGTGGGGGTTTGGGAGGCCGCATCGCGCACAAACACCCACACACTCCCTCAACTTCCACGAACACACACATACGCAGACTCGTTTCCACACGGACATAGACACACGCACAGAAACCCACACACTACCTCAACTCACTCGACTTAACACTTCTCACTACACACTTACCGGATAACTCGCACTCTGATTTCCTACGTGATGAAAAATGCTTTCGGGCCACTCGTCGTCTAGTTTCGATCAACGTCCGGTCCGGTCGGCGCGTGCAGGCACGAACGGCAGCGCTCGGTCCAAGGAGGAGGCTGCAGGTGGCATCCAAATCGCCCGGTCGACGGCATGGCAGAAGAGGTTTTGCTATCCAGAGGGTGCTATTGTCCTAGCTAGTGTCCTATTATTCTTTGGAAGCACTTGACTGGACAGTGTCCCATTCAATGTCGAAGTGCCCAGTATCCTTCCATCATTGACGTGATGGAAGACATTGGAGCCGTCAGGGGCACTTTGCGTGAGTCGTCAGCTGATGAAACTGGAGTTTCCTTTTCCGCCCACCAAGATTCTCATTTCTCCGAGACCCTTTTGGTCGATATATGCTTTACAATGCAACCTTTCGCTCTGACCAATCTTATGTGCCTAGACCATCCTAGACTACCATAATATGCTGGTAGAATGATAGCCACCTAGGGGGAAACAACCTCATCTATAAAAACATTGTTGTGGGTCGCACAATCCCTTTATTCATTGGCTCAGTTGTGTGCTTGACATGGTTTGCCACCGGAAGCACAGCCTCGTGGATGTCACTGAACAACATGGCCGCTCAAGGAACACTTCCTGCCGGTTGTGTGAAAGGGGCAGGCTGCGGGCCCCAACGCTAGCTGCGGGGCTGAGAAAGGAGAAAGGATGTCCAGCCCAAGCCTGAGGAGAAGATTGACCAGGGGCCTATGAAGTTTGGTTCCAACAAATGGCGCAATACCACCATCCAGAGCCCTGAAGGCTTGAATGGGCACATACCCGATGAGCGGCTCACGCGTGTCAAAGTACCAGCTCCATGTTGCAACAAAGAAGTGACGGTGAATTCTGGTACACGGGATTCCCGGGAGCTGCCAGCTCACACAGACCTTGCCCTACCAAGCTCTGGTGAATGCATACCGCGCAGAGGGCACTCCACAGCGGAAGAGACACAGCACATGATACACTATTGACACAGGTGCTCATGCACCCCTGGGCTGGGCAAGACACCAATCTTGCATCATCCTGCAGCAACACGTGCATCATCAAGAAGCGAACGCAGCCGTTTTGTGCATCATCAAAACGTGAGCACAGCCACCACACCTGGGCGCGGCTACCCAAAGCAGGAGACACCAGGGAGATAGGGCTGTTGTGTGTCGATCTGCTCTTATTGAGGCTGTTGTGGCAGTAATGAGGTGGGCAACACACAGCATCCGTCCACCAATCGAGCAGCAGAAAATCGGCTTGTCCCGGATAAGGAGGCACAGCTGAGCTTTGACATGATCGGCTTATTGTGGTATTTTGTTGCTGGTTTGCTGCTGCTGCTGCTGCTGGTCTGCAGGGTTTGCTGCTGCCTGGCTGGCTGCTGCCTGGTTTGCCTAGTTTGCTGCTGCTGTTGCTGCTACTGCGCACCCTTCGTTGCTTAGGCTTACAACCTTTGGTGCACCCCACCTTTACTAAATCGGTTGCTGACGCGGTTTTGTTCAGCATGGTCATGAGCCTAGTGTTTCGATCGCGTCGCGCTTGTGTCCAATCTAATTATGCTTGTCCTGATCAACACTGGCGTGGGGTGCGTCCAGCATCGTTTGAGAGGACCAGCTTGTTTGTAGTGCAGTGCAGTGTTGCAAGTAATGAGATGTAGTGAGGGAACATGCCAAGTGATGTAACCCAGGCCATCAGTGTCGATCAGGGTTTTCTCGCACATGGTAAGTTTCAGTGCTCAACGTCACCACGCCTTCGTGCTCGTTCCGCGCCTCATCCGTGCCGCGCCGTGCGCAATCGACCCACCACCGCGAGGCTCTGGCGAGTGCCGTGTGGGAGCGCCGGTCCCGGCCCATGGAGATTGGGTCGTGGTCGTTGGGTCGGCAGAGTGGGTGGTAAATGCATCCTGAAACCAGGTCCGACCTCGGGGACTCCTGATAGCCTAAAACCGAGAGCGTCCGGAAGCTGGGACATCCTTTTCGGGGATTTCGGATCCCGAAATCGGGCATTTCTGATACCACGATACCCAAACCGCTGATAGCCAGTTGCAAAGACTGGAGACCGAGCGAAACGGGTCAAAACCTGGAGTAGCTTGACCCACAGCCAGTGGTAACTGGGATCCACTGACTGGGTGTTGCTTGGCAAATCGATGTGGATTTATGATTCCCACAAAGATCGAACGAACATGAGTCAACCGGCTTGGTCGGAGGGGGAATTCCCAAGTCTTTGCGTGTTTTGCTGTGCATTCCTTTTCTTGCAATCAATGTGTTTTTTGTTTTTTTTTGGCGCGTTTTTGCATGTGAGGGTGAGTGGAACAAACATGAATCAACAATCATTGGCAGCGGAAGTGTTTGTACAAGCTGGGGTGTTTTTTTGGTGTGCGACTTGGAATGTGTGGGAGGTCCTGACGGGGGCCAGAGGTTCAACGGAAAGAAACTTGCCAAGTCATTAACATAAAGCCAGGTGCTCATGCTTTTCAGCAACGATCAAGGTTCCTTTCTGAGCTACATAATGACTCCCTGGGCCTGTGTAGAAGCAAGAAAAGGTCCCCCTTGATGCCTTGATCATCCCCAGCTACAGGCCAGTACACTCTTTGAGGTTATCAAATTGATCCTCGGCCCTTCGTTGAGAAGTACAATGTTTCCTTCGAAGCATCGAAACCCCAGCCATCAAGATGTAGTGGAAGCATCTTTCTTCCCAGAAGCGCTGGCCGCCGCTGGCCGCCGCTGGCCCGGTCGAAAGGAGCAGTTGGCGTGCCTCATGTCAAGAGTTGCCCTTTCAAGCAACCACCTCCACGAAGGTTTAGACTCTTTAGACATTCAATAGACATTCAATGACATTCATTCATTCACTACAATTAAAGAAGCATGGCTTCGATCGTCAAAAGAATTTACGAGACATGACCAGAGACCATGAGCACTGCTGGCTTGGACGACATCCTTCACAAACCTTAAACTGCCAGACAATTGACTTCTGAAGCGTTCCCCTTGACGTTGATACTCAAACATTGACCACTTGCAGTGCACAGATTCTGGAGGGTCTGGACCGGAATCGACCCGGACCATCCCAACAAAACCGGCCATATGGCGCCGAAACCGTATGCCGCATCCGATCCGACCGAAAATTGGAGGGCACGAAAACAAGATAAAACAAGTAGCCAAAGTCCTTCGTTCCTTGAGCATCCGACGCCGCGCCTTTTTGGTGACGCTTTAGCTGGCGAGCTCATGAGCCGCACTTGCTGCTGTCCCCACTGGGAGGCGACCGGGTGGAGGTGGACGGTGGACGCAACACCAAGTTGGCCTCTTCTGAATTCATTGTTTGGGGGGACACCACCGGTGTCAGCGAGAGATAGCTAGAGTTCTTAGGGAAGGACACCATGTCCGCGACCACTTCGGGCAGCTTCCATGGTCATGTGTATTTCAGCCACTTGGCGCTGTACAGTGATATCCTGGAAAGAAGTGATGCCTGCAAAGAGTGATGAAGTTGATGAAGTGATGACGAGCCATCGCGTAGGGTTTCATTTTGGGCCAGAAAAAGGAGACTTCTGTCTTGTGAGTTGCAGATGGCAGACGAATCATCCGATGATTGACAGTGTGAGAGTGTGCTCTTTGAGGTTTGCACCTGAGTTTGCTTTGGCGAAGTCTTGACCGGGAACCGCTGGTGACGAACGATCCGGCTGGACACTGGACACGGATCCTTTTCGATCGGATTATCTGATATGATCATTGCAAAGCTGATGCGCCTATTGCTTGTAGCCCTTTACAAATCGCTGCTGGAGCACTAGCACATTGCCCCGCACTACCGAATCGCGCGCGCTGTTCCGGGCTGCAGGAAGATGACGAGGGTGAGATCTTCTTGGATTCCAACCGCGAGGCGAGAGATAGCGAGAGCAACCTGTTTTGGAAGTCCCCAGGTGGGACGACCATCACAGGAGTAATGACGTGGTTGTGTGATGTTGCGGATGTGTTGTGTGTTCTTATCATTCTTTATCCGTGTTGATTTATCCATGTTCTAAAACCCATGAGTTGGTATGCTACTTATTATATAATTATTGTTTTCCCTGTTTTTCCGGTCACTCTTGAGTTCAGGTGCTTCATCGAATGTCCTCTTTAAACAAAACGAGATGGCCGTTCGGGGCCAGATGTCCTGGGTTGTTGACTTCGCAGTGGATCAGTAGAGCAGTGGATCAGTGGGTTTGCCGTCACCAAGGGGGAAAGCCACATGAAGCAACATTCGATGTACTGATATTGAGTGCCTCGGCTAGACGCCAGACGCCCCCGACGGCTGGGTGGACTGGTCTGTTTTGTTCCGAACCTTTTTGCAGGGGATGCTCGGAACGCCGGCGGTGAGGTCTAGCTGCCTAGCTCCCTAGTTTAATGAGTTTTAATGCACACCAGCTTTGTTATCAAAAGTATTCAAAAGTCAAGATACATGCACTATTAGAATCATTACTTAACTTTGTTTACGGCCTTTTTGAATACATTTCTTGAATACAAAGTCGTGGGGCCTCCTGCTGTGCTACTATGGAAGGCATAGGAGACGCAAGAGCTAGGTGTCCCAATCTAGCAATTGACCTCCCAGTGTCGCAGTCGGCGCCTCTGAGCCATCCACCACCTGGGCCTAATCCTGCGCGCAGACCGGTGCATCAAATCGCAGGATGCTCGCTTTGACAATCTTCCGATCGTGCTGATCCTCGTGCGGGGAGCCTCGTGCAGAGAGCCTCCCTCCGACCACGCGGACGGATGAAGCATCGGCTTTGGCCGGCGGCTGGGTGTTTTGGAGCCGAGCCAATCGACCGAGTACCCGGAGTTGAAATCTGCTGAGCACTCAGATGGACCCTGAAAACCACTGGTTTTGGTAGAGGAAAACCATCCTTCCAGGGGGGCCAATCTCAGGGTACATGGGTACCCTTCACCACTGCAGTTTCTTTGGAATTACTTTTCTTCGAGTGATCCCCACCATGACATTTCAATCATTTGTTTCATGCCATCCTGAGGAGCATGTTGCCATGGTCGTAATGTGGTAACAATGATGCCTGCAAACTCGGGTGCCAAACATGCAGCATGGCCGGGCTTACACAGCATCTTGGACATAAAACGGCAGCCAGGCATCTCCATCCAACTCCAGTTCACTTGCGCCTTCTGCTGACAGTGTGTGAGCTTGACATAACTCGACGATAGCTAGGCATAGCTGTCAAAGCTTGGCCACGAATCAAACGCTTTTTCATCGTTTCCGCCTGACTGATTGTCTCTGAAGCTGCTGCTGGCTCCTACAAGTCATCAAGTGGCAGCTTCTTGATCAAATCATTTTTTGGCACTTCTGTGACAAGTGGCCTACGCTGTTTGCAATAACCCCTTCCAAGTTTTCCTCGGCACCACCCATGCGACAACGATGAAGTTTTCCTTTGGCACTTGCCTTTGTTGAGGCTTGGTAGTGCCCACTGCGATCGGGAGCTGGCGGTTGAGATCCGCTTGTGCCCACTGCGATCTGGCGCTTGCAGTTGAGGTCCGGCAGGGCCCATTGCAATCGGGGGCTGATGGTTGAGGTCACTGCAATCTGGCACTTGCTGTTGAGGTCCGGTAGTGCCCATTGTGAACTGGCACTTGCTGGTGAGGTCCGGCAGTGCCCGCAGCGATACCCACTGCGATTTGGCGCTTGCTGTTGAGGTCCAGCAGTGCCCACTGCGATCTGGAGCTGGCAGTTGAAGTGCGGTAGTCAAGAAGACAAGGAGAGGAGGAGGAGAAGAGGAGGAGGAGGAGAAGAGCTCTGATAAAATTGAACGACCCTCACGCGGCAGGTGGGGAAAAACAGACCCTTCACTTTTGACTGAGGGACCATGGAAAGTACCAGATTTTTTGGGCTCAAGCTCCAGGATCCTGATAAACCACCAATGGGGGTTGACTCCTGAGGACACACTGCAAGGTCGGAATGTATTATTATGGTCCATGGTGGATTTGGACTGTGAGATATGTAGGGTGGGAATTCCTTGCTTAAGGAATGCGTGTGATCCCAAGTGCGCGGAAGGGATCCATGGGATATCATGGGATGCCATCAATCAATGTTTGGCAAGCGGGTTTCACCCCGCTCGTTTCAATTTCGACACGACTTGATTGAGGAAAACTCATCCCTCTCACACACACACATGCTATTCCAGCGAAGCACTGAGTGGCTCGCGTTCACTGAGATCGATGTTATCTCGGGATAGCAGGATTATCATTGTGTTCAAAGATGTTGGTGAGGTGAGGCAGGCATGCATGAGGTGGTTCTGCTGTGATTTTCGATCGAGGTCAGTGAGCATCTTGAATACAATGGTGGTCGTGGCCTCTTTCGTCTTCAATTCCCTCTCTATGCTGGAGCGCTCGTCGGACGTCCTCTCATTCTGTGTAACTGGCTGTGGGTCATAGCACCGGGGGCCTCAAGTTTGACCGCTGAACATGAACAGAATCGAATACCAAGGAGGCCCACCTACCAGGGTGAAAGGGGCTGCTTGGGTTCCTTACAGTTTGATGTACCAGTAGAAATTCCTTAAGCCGACGGGATGCCCTGCCCATTTTGGGAGGTGCAACCTCTGCAACGACAAGGCTGTTAGTTCTTGGAATGAGACCATACATCCGGGGGGGCTCACACAACGGGGGCATCACAAAATCATACAGAATCTAAAAACCCGTGTGGAGGTCAAAACCCAGAAATGTCCAAGGTACCCCGGTCGGTGACCAACTGATTGCGTGCAGTTCCAAAAACGAAGAGGAGTGACTGTGCCTCAACTGCCGCAACACTAATATATAAATGATATGGGTTGGAATCATTTATGGGTGGTGATACACTATAAATAGGTAAAAATAGACGACCTGTGAGGGCAACCCGTGGTTTTTGATTAGAATTAGCTACGGTATACATAGATCGTTAAACAGGTCATGCTGCGGTCCACACTGGCTGTCTCCAAAAGAGCTGCACCTGGGGCGCCCGCCCTAACAAAATGGAACTAGCATCTACTCTCCCTGGAACTAACATGGAAGTGGAAACCCCTTTGTTTGTAGAGGGAAATGGTCACATACCCGGTTACATAGACATTGTTACATCCATACCCGGTTTCTATCCAAGGGCTCAAGGGGTGGGTGGGTGTTGGCACGGACACTAAAACGCCACGCCACGCCCCGGTGCGTGTTGTGTAGAGGATCGTCTCAGGATTTAGAGGCGATGGCATCCACTGCCAGTTCTAGGGAGTGTAACAACTCTTGAGTCTCGCAGTCTCGCAAGAACTCTTGCAACAAGTCTAGCTCCGACACATAGCTGGCCCAGCCTAGCTGCAGTAGCTCAGCCACCAGCCAACCAACTCCTCAAACTCCTCACATTGATGGGATTAGATTTTTCCTTTTACATGCATTGCGCACATTGTGACGTTTCCAGTCGCACTGATTGGGTGATGAGATGACTGCTTTAAGCTCCAAGTTCTCATTTTGCTGGAGATGTGCCTCCCAAACGGCAGGACGTGGCCGTCGCAGGAGTCCTGGTGGTGCGGAGCCTCGGGAATCGGCGGAAAGAACATGCGGTGTGGTCTGTCCCAGAAAGCTGGAACAGTCGGTAGACAAGTATCACTATTTTAGAGAAAGGTCTGGAATAAATCCAAGGTATTATTGCAGTAGTCATTCAAAGAGACCTTTTCCGAAATAGCGGGAAGACTTCAGGTCTACTTTCCTATTCCAACTACGCACCCATATTCTTCCCCGAGCAACGGGGTGTGTAGGTCGCCCTGGCCTGGTTGAAGTAATTAGTTTTTGTTAGGGTCTCCCTGCTCTATGACATGATGGGCTGTTTGATATTTCAATATATACTGTATAATTAGGCAATCCGGAACCCTGGAGAAATCTCAAAATGCATCACCCTCAGCCAGGTCAACCGTTTTGACTGACACCGTGCCTAATAATATTTATATACATGTCTAAGGAAGTGCTCAGTAGGGCCACATTTGCATTACAACGGGCGGACCTGACATAATGAAGGCACAAAAAGTGTACGGATCACAATGACGGTCATGCCAACAAGAGCAGTTGACATGACTGTCATTGTGATTCGGACCCAACATCCACAAGATGTCAGAGTGACATGTCATAGAACCAATTCCTCACTTCCCCATTGAGGCTATCGTCCATTCGCTCTACACAATCATTTGTCGAGGCAAGCGGTGAGCGGTTTCGGCAGCGACCAAGTGATTGCAGCTGTCCAAGTGAGTTCTTTGAAATGAACATAAATGAACCAAGTCTATCGCCCAGAAACAGTTTGGCTGATTTCGTCACAAAACCGCCGGTTTGTTGCTTGGCATGTTTCGTTGCTCCAGTGTTTGATGGCCCAGTGTTTGGAGGAGTTATAGCTGGCCCCTTTACCCCTTTCCGCCGCGTGTAGAGGTGGCCTGTTGACATGAAATCCGCCTTGGATACCCCTCGGATCCACGAGAATCCAGTGTTTTCTTCATATCCCATCGCACACGGCCGCTGATTCCATCGCCCGCGGCCGCGCCTACCGGCTTCGGTCGGCGCCCCGGGGTAGCCGCGCGCGTCAACGCGATCGTTTGGAGCACCTGTGGCGTGTTTCCCAGAGGTCGAAGAGCCAGACACCTGTGAAACCCAGGAGGTCAGACACACCAAGAGAGGTTGAGAGACCATATAATGACCCTGTAGTGGTACATATGGGATTGGCTATAGGGCTGTTCAACCTCTCTTGGCATTTTCCCAGCTGAGTGGGGGACTTTCGACCACCTGGTCACTCGCCCAGACACTGCCAGTTGTCTTGGGCTCCAAGCACTTCTGGCAGCTCACCTGTGTCCCTTGGACGCGTGCCGAGCGGTCAGGAGTTCCTAGGGATGGTCCACTGGGGAATGGGAATGGGATATACCATACCCAACCCCTTTTCCTTTCGCCACAGCGTTCGCTGCGGACCGCGCCTGCAGACGCGGATTGCGGACCACTGGGTTGTCCAGTTCGACAAGATGACCGACTGTTGTGTTCGAACAGTTCCTTTTCGGGTCACCGAGTCAGACCATGTTTTTTGCCCTTTGACTCACGGGGAGGGGGGAGGATAGATCTTTGATAGTAACTTGAACAGTGACCTCGGTGCGACGCCGGATGAAGACATCGTTGCGACGCCCGACTCTCGATGCCATCCATAAGCTAAAAACAATTTAGGCGACTCCAGACTCCAGGTCCAGTAATTTTTGGAAACAATCTCTTTGCACCAACAATAAGGTAGTCAATAAGGTGTGTGTTGTCGACACAAATCGAAAACATCATCGAATACGATATTTTTTGTGCAACCACTAAGTTAGAAGAAGGTGATATCCTGGCCATCCTGGCCAATGATTGTGTAGACTAGGCTGCAGTGAAGGCAAGGAAGATCAAGTTAAAACAGAGACCTAAATGACTTAAGGACCATTGGCAGGACAATTAAGGACCATTGGCATAAGACTCAGATTGAGGAAACAACATGAAACAACACATGTCCGATACTGGCACTTCACGCATGTTCCGCTTCAGACGGCCCTCTCAGGCTGCCGGTACCGAACAAATCCCGAGCATAGCGGAAAGCTCCGCTCTCCGCCGCAAACGTGTAGACACGGGGGATTGAAACTTGCAAACAAGTTCGAAGCTTGCAACGATGACCTTGAAGATACCCAACCCATCCCAACTCCATATCCTCTGAAAAGATGGCTAGAGCGGCAACTCCCTCACCCATTTGGTGATGGGTATCCAGGCCGCCCACGCGCACGACACGGACTCCCCAGAACCGTCGCTTTCGCCGGTCAGGTCACCTGGGAGGTCCTTCTCTCAAGCACCAAGCTCCTAGGTGGGCCGCGAAGCTATTTGCCGCGCCCAAAATATGCAGCTGATTTGGTAGTTTTTTATTAATAGTAGCATTTTCCTGGGCGGGACGGGATTCTTGACTCTGGGTATATAGTGGGTATAGATCCAATAGTCGGATTTAAATGATTTGTTCCCCCAAGACTTTTGGATTGGTCCGAGTGGATTCCAAGATATTCCAAGGATCTTTGTCCATGGGCTTTCCGACGTGCGTCCGGTCCGAGACGGGCGGTGGGTGGCAGCCCAGCGCCACAGCTCAAAGCGCCACGCGCCAGCGCCACTTCCCCATGTAAACTGACACAAACTGACCATACCAACGGTCATGCCGTCAACGAGTGTCCACGACCATGCCGGGGTTCGGTCGGCGACCAGAAAAAAGATACTCCAAGGCCTCAGAAGCCTCGCGTCGCCGGAAGAGTCTTCCTTCCAAGACGGGTTGCGGAGCCCACCCTAGAGGTCAAAGATCCCAGTTTACATCATGTTGATCATAAGTTAATCATAAGTTGATCATACAAAAGCAAGCAAAAACACTAAGTACAGTCAATGAGGTTTTCAGGACCAGGTTTGGAACTGGGTCAGACTGGACCTGTAGGGCCATGACTGCCAAGCCTCACAGCCTGAGCTTCGAGCGCGAGCGCGCTTCCAAGTGCAGGTAGCATTTTGGTGCTCGTGGTGGTGCAAGTGGAAGAGTTGGAGCATGAGGTGAATGGCGAAACGCCGCTGGGACGGTCAAAAGATGTCAAAAAGGAATGATCATCTTCCAGTCGCCACTGGAAACGCCACTGGTCGGTCAGTCCATGCTTGGAGAGTGTGGATCGGGCATCAGCCAGGGTGCAAGACTGTCGCAGTCGGAACGTGCTCACGTCGGATGGATCCAAAAGGAGAACGAAGGATCCGATGTCCGGGAACGCACCGGTTTCAGAACCAGCTCCTCAATATGCTGTAAGGTATACCAACTGTAACTATTACTGTAACTATATACTGTAAGGTCCTCAAACAATTTATATACTGTAACATACTGTAACTATAGCTCCTCAATCATTGCCAAACACCTAAGATAGACTCTTGATGAATAGAACCCACCATTTGGATGCGCTCACTTGGGGTCCTGGGACGCTTCTACCTCAGCAATGGTGGATTGTAAAACCCGTTCAAATGGGATACGGGATACGCACTTGCCATCGTCATGTCTCGTGCCCCAACAAAACCCCCTCCTCCTTGTCACATAGTGTGACGGCTACAGGTGGGTATAGCCCTTCATATGATTTCATGTGGGGCCACCCCTCAATAATAATATGGGGGAGGTTGATTATAAAAGATCTCTGACTCCAAATAGATAGACAAGTAGATCCCCTCTAAAAATGTATTGGAAGCCGTTTCTATATTACCTGGGATCCCCAATGAATGAGTCAGGCCACCTGCTGCGCCAAGGACCATGACGGTGTCCCGGCCAATGTTCTGGTGCTTTTTCGCGGCTCGGCATCACATCGTACTGGCAGGGTGCTTGGCATCAGGAACTTCATCAGTTTCATGTGAGGGGCGTGAAGTCAAACTGGCTGACAATATGAAGTGCCTTCAACATTGGCTTAGGATTACGGTTGCATAAGAGCGTTGCACTCATGTGCTGAAATGAGAAACATAGACATTTTGACCGTACCTCACATGTTGACAACGAGCATCGTCAGCGGCAACGAGCTCAGTTTGAAGGTGCATGATGGGGAACCCCGATGAACATGAATGAACCGTGCGAAACCCCACACTGAAAGGCTTGACAGGCAGAATTGAGAAGATGCACTCTCGATTCTCGAGCAAATTACAGATGCCTGATGGTTCTCGCGAAGAAACACGTTACTTGTCCCTTTGAACTTCGACATATATACTTCGACTTCGACGTGTTTTAATTATCCATCACCTCTGTGGCAGGGACTAGAGTCTGCTGCAATTTTACTTCCCCCTTGCTTCATGAAGGGCGAGGCCCAACAGATTCATACCACATGTGCCCTTTTCTTGTTGCCCGTTTTCCGCGCTGCCCAAATCAGGACAAATTAGGACAACAGCAACAACAACAACGACCACAACAAGAACAAGAACAAGGTACAAACAACAACTGCAGCCCAGAAGTCACAACATGTGCCAACGATGTTGGGCGGAATGTTTTTTTCTGTTTCTACCAACAACAACTTATCCTGGTGCCCCCAAAGGCCCCACATGGAAGACGCCTTTGTCCTATTTTGTTCTCTACATAGCGTTGTCCACAAATCCCGAATCGTCCACATAGCGTTTGACTCATTTGGCTGTGGGGAGCTGGCACCAGGAGCCCCGAACTCACCAGGGTAGGATAACCTCCTTCTGGGTGGGAAGAACCAGGGACACCGGAACCGGTGCCATGACCCATCCCCACAGATATAGATCATTATAGATCAATGATTCTGCATGTCTTTGCATATTAAATAGTGGATGACCACCCACAGTGTGATCCATTTCTACACTTTGACTAACTAACATGGAAGTGGATGGCATGGCCTGTTGGATGACTATTCTCTACAAACAGGTGGTGAACTCCACTTCCATGTGATGTGTTCGTCAGGGGGTACATCATGAGAAACCTTGGCGTTCTCGTTGATTCGACCAATGCCCGAGGTGCTCTCCTTGATCGTCCCGAGGTGACGACCGTGGGTAACTGGGGGCGATGTCCAGTGTGTTCCAAGTCCCAACATGAAAGTACGTGTTTGGAGCGCAGAATCAAGATCCCATATTGCTATGGGATTCCAGTGTGTCCCAACACGGCCTAACGGGAAACGTTGAGGAACACCACTTGCCGGACTGTTGTCAGGGCATGCGTATGAAAGGCTGCAGGTCCATAACACTAGCCACTAGCCCGTTGGTTGAGGGTTCCCCTTTTGAGATGCAAACTCAATTCAGTGTCAGGTGATCAGCAGTGCGAAACGTGGACATCTCCACAGATTCCAATGATCTTGAACAAAGCCCACTTTCAGTGGTGGGTTCGGTCAAACCTCCGCACGTGCGGTTCCGGGAAAAGATCAGACCGACCAAGTCATGGAGAAACGCAGCGCCTCACAGAGAAACTCACGGAGCAACGCCTCACATGTGCACGGCCATGTGATCGAAGAAGAGGTTTGTCGTACCCTCTGAGACGATCTCACTAGACTCTTCTGGGTGGTAGTGGATGGTATGGCCGCCAGGGACGATTCTTCTTCAAACAGGGCGGTTTTGCACTTCCATGTGAGTGAGTCGGGGTGTAACTACTTAATTATGTTATATTAATTATGTTGATTCCATTGATCAAATTTGATCAATCAACAAACTGCAGAAGATGGAGATGTTTCACATTGTTTGACCATCCAAAAGGCAGGTTCTTTTTGAAAGCAACAAGCAACATCAAGCAACGTTAATGTTGAGACTGGACCGACGTGATCGTGTTTCATTTTGTCGTTTGTGGTGCGGTGTGCGAAGGAAGCTTTTCCACCTTTACTTGTAGCAGTTGGTTGATGAAAGAAATCCTGCTCCACCTTGAATACCAGACCCAGGGCATTTAGGTACCACTATAGCTGGTAACCAGTGTTCCAAAGACTAAAACATACTAAAACTATAGTCCTAGAAACCTTGGTTCCTTGTATAGGGATAACTGGGATCCACTCCAAGAAGCACTGCACAACTACCTCACTACTTCCATAGTTCTAGTGAACACCCGCGTTTGTTTATGTCTTGCATCCACAGCGCTGGTGCTCTTCATTCCTTCACCTCCCTTAGCGTTAGCGTTGACATCCCTTAACCTCCAGTCACTGCAAAAGCAACACATGTGAACTCACGCGGAACCACACGTTGGTCTACCGGTGAGGGCAGTGGTCTACGTCTGGAGCGCTTGCCAACAATGTGCGCGGAGGCAGGTCTCCAAGTGCCTTGGTGCCCACTGGGTGTTGCGGATCGGAACTGGGTGAATCCCCATGGGGAAGACGATATTTCCCCGGCTTCGATGGCCAATCCCAGTTGGGACTTCAGGTGGATTTTTCGGGTGCCCCCCCCCCGAAACCGAGTCTGGTAGTCCAGTGTCGTCATGTTCTGATTATATGGAGTTGGGTTCGGATTTACATGAGGTTCTTAGTGTTCGGGTGTTGTGTGAACTACAACAACAACTACTACTACTACTACAACTACAACTACTACTACCACTACTACTACCACTACCACTACGACTACTTCTACTACTGCCACCACCACCACCACCACCACTACCACCACCACCACCTACTACCTACTACCTACTACCTACTACCTACTACATACTACATACTACATACTACATACTAGTGTTTCTGAAGCCGCAGACCGACCATACTCCACTATAGACTATACATCTATTTTTTGTTTTACTCTACACATACATTCCTGGTTGTGCCAGTCTTGCATCACCTGTCCGGGTTATGCCATTCTTGGCACCAAGACTCGGCTGGCCCAGGGGCGACCAAGACGTGTTCATGTTCAACCAGTGGGGCAAGTCCTGTCGGTACATCCACTGAGTAGATCCATTGTAGGGCTTGGTTGGTCATAAGACCTTCTCACAGGTTAGGGGACTGCACATGACTCCACTGCACTGATGGGCTGAAGCCACCAATCTTGGAGATCAGCCAGTTTGAAGGGCAAAACGGGTGGGATGAAGGGTTTGTGGTTCAGGAAGTGATCATGTGATGCTTCGCTCCACATCTTCTGGGAAATTTGGGGAGATTTGCATCTTTGTTTAACCGCAAGGGGCCATTTTGGTCGATGGTTCTGTCATGTTCTGTCCATGTTTTTTTTCTTCAAGCATTTGCCTTCAATCGCACCCAGCTTGATCATTCCCCATTTCAAGCCAACAAGCACTTCATCCACTTGAAGATCCTGCCTTCACATGCCTTCAGCCCATCCTACCTAAATAAGTGGCCAATTACAAAACTGAGATGCCAACATTGTGCTAACATGTTCTGCCTTCACAAACAGATTCTATGTACTATGTATCCTAGATGCTCAAATCATTGCAACAAATTACTAGATGTCACTGTCCACTGCCAGTCACTAGATGTCAGTCATGGCTGTCGATGGACAGAGCCTCCCAAGGAATCGAAAACGCTTCACCGAGGGCGACTTCGATCTGGCGCGGGGCGACTTCGACGTCGATGCGGGGGCATTTGGATGGGTTTGGTGTACGGTGATGGGCGCCGTGATTGGGGTGATGAGGACTTTTGCCTGTAGTCCCAGCGAATTGTTTTTGCGGTATTAAACATATATATATATATATCGAGATCTATATTGAATGTAGTAGACAAGTAGAGTGGATCCCTGGTCTTTTTGGGAATCGAATGATGTGGACAATTTATTTGGTGTCCTTTTAATTTTGTGGTGATTCCCTGGAATGGTCTGCTCAGAGTCGAGTCCAAACTGGAAGGAACTGGAAACTCAAGCTTTGAAGGTGGTGAGTGAGATTAGCCGCTAGCTTCAGCTTGGTGTGCAATTGATGGAGGACATCCACATCTCATGACCAGACCGGGTTTGATCATTGGGTTCTGGATCAAGTGACAACTGTTCATTGCACGTGTCCGTCAAAGTCACAGGGTGACATGTCCCAGACCGCAAGTGTGTGTGTGTGTGTCTTTTCGGTGGTTCTAAAATTTCCTGCCTGGGACCGCATGGATGAATTGGAGAAGCCGTCTTGGTGTCCACCGTTTTCTGTGGCAGAACTGAACAAGGCTAACCTTTCTGAAGACATGGTCAGGATGACTTCTTCGCTTCTTTTTCTGGGAACGCCTGGTGACCACGCACCGCTTGCCTTGGGGAGGATTTGGCATACATCTCCGGGAGGATTCTGGCGATGAGCTTTCCAGCACAAGACCTGGAGGCGCCGACACGTCGCAAGAGCGAAACCGTAGCCGTAGCTGCACTGGACTGAAGGTCACAGACGGCACTTGACTGTGCTTGTTCAAGTGGATGTGGAGTGGACGTGTCAACACGATGTTTTGGATTTTGGAGTGGGATCTAGAGGATGAGGTAGGCATTGACAAATTTATGTTGAAGGATGATACACGCGTGTTCAGCAACTAATATGTCATGTGTTTTACAACAGGGACGTTGTATAATTCATTACTTGTTCTACAACAGCTTGGATGTGGAGCATTTGAACATCAACCATAGAGTCAAACCTTCATGTTTGATGTTCTTGTAGTACTATTTCGAATGGTGTGGTGTTCTTCCGATGTTTGAAACAACTACCTTTGTTGGCACGATGGACTCCAATGGACTCCGGGAGTCTAAAGAAGCTCAAGACAGGTATTGTTTGTTTCGACCTGCATTGGACACCGCGGTACGTTTAAAGCCCTTAGGGACCACCCGCCTCACGCCGGGGGGAGCACTCCGACGCCACCTTCCGCCGTGGAGACGTGGACGAAGACGTGCGAACAGCTGTGTTCGTACCGAAAGCCAGCTGTTTTGCAAAGGAAAAAGACGCATCTTTTCCTGTGGTACCAACAAAAACACCATGAATTCGTTGGAGTGTAGATCTCATCATGAATTTGCAGAAAACACATCATGAATTCGTTCGTTGGAGTGTGGATATTTTGATTGGAGACCGAGTCATTGTCCGCTCCCATGGTGCGTCACTGTGTGCGTCGTCCGTGCGTTTGAGGCGCAGTTCCGGAACCCCATGGCAGAGGCCTGTGGCGGGCTGTGGCCAGCTGTGGCTGAGGAGGTTCTTTTAGAACGGTTTCCAAGAGAGGTTACATATCTACCAGCATAGACCCCAAACTGCTTCAGCTGGATGCTTTTGCGTCAATGACGTCATTTGTAAATCTTATGGAGTTGGTGGAGAGAATATAGTTATATAATAGGTCTTCAAAACAAACTTCATGAGCAGGAAAATATTCCATAATAAGTTGCTAGGAAGAGATGCATGGGTACACCTTAACGAGAACCTAGTGAGTCACCTACAATCCATTGGATGTGAGCATCTCTTAACAGCGTCAGGAGGTTGTGTTGAAGCGGGGAGGTTGTTGCCTTGTACCTAAGCAAGTCTTACAAGATTCTGTATTGCTGGCAGATGCGATACGCACCTCAGCCAGCCAATCTGCACATGCAATCTCAACCTAATGCAATCCTGAAAGATATAGCCTTCAGACTGAGGACTGTATGTCCAAGAGGATCCTTTTGCCATGGGCCTATCCTTGACAATGACCACCAACCAGTACATACAGCAGGGCACTACGATGCCGCAACGCTAGCAACTTGAACTCTCCCATCCAATGGGACCCAACTCTGGAGGCCCTCCCTTGGACCACTGCAGAAACACTGCAAGAGCGAGCAAGAGCGAGCTCTACCGTCTTGAAGTTCGGATTTCAACGAGCAGAAGGAGCCGCTCGCGACACGGCATCGCTGCGGCATCGCAGTCACTTCCTCCACTGCGTCGATGGCGATGGCATGCCTGCCAAGGTGGATGAAAAACTGGTTCCCACGCTGCGGCTTGGTGTGCTCTTTGACAAAGCCCACGCTAGCTGAATATCTACAGCAGATACTTGACAGGAAAGATGCAGCACCGGGATGGCTGGGCTCTCATCTGTTCAACTTAAAAGGACTTTACTGCACTCATCCCAGATCTGGCACCTATTCCTACGCAGGTAGGAGTATTGATCCCCAAGGCAAAAGCAGGTCTAACTGTCGATTTGTTCGACGTTAGGTACACCTGATACCTTAGACAGACTTCAAGATGGCACACTCGCTGCCTTTATTTCACTCATCACAGGCCATGCTAAATCTCTTTCGTGAACCGCAGCCTTGTGGATCCGGGCTTGCAAGACAGGAGTCGAAGCTTGGAGCAGCGTGGATGAGCTTCTGCCAACACTGTCATTTGAGTGAGTGGACCACCGGGTCAAGGAGAGGTTGGAAAAGCATCATCCTGTTCTTGTGTAGGTTTGGTTTCCCTAGTTATATCAGGGGAGCGCGACCCTGACTATGTCGCACCTATGAAAACCACTTGTGTAGCATTTTGGGCGATGAACAGGGTGCTACCTCGCCAGGTGCAACGCTTCCTACAGAGCCGGCACCCCCAGCACCGCGTCTACAACCTTTGCAAGGAGGAACATCGGAGGCAAGTCCATCAAAAGTGGTTGGCAACATGGTGGGACCCCAGAAATAATAAGACTGCAGGGCACGATGTTGGAAGGTTTGAAGATGTTTCAGCAATTGAAAAGTGTGATCCTTTTTTGACCAAGAACTACTACCCCATGAACCCACTAGAACAAACCACCTGCCTACTCCAAAAACAAGGCATGCCCTCGTGATCCCCCTGCAAGTCAAGCGCCGCTGGTTTTGGTGGGAGAGATGATTTGGGGCGCCTTTTCACCGACAAAACCATCGCTCTCAGAGAGTCTTCACCTGTCCATGGTGCGATGGCTTAGGTCTCGGAAGACCTCCCAGGCCTTCTGACCCCTGGAAGGAGGGAGACATAGACCAGTCTACCAGTCTACCCATTGGAGGTCTTCATTGGTCTTTCAAATGCTCTTACCATCTTCCCTCCCCAAAGAAGGGTGCGAACAAAACGACTCTGGCCAGTTCCGTGACTTCGTGCCTGTCGCCCACTGTCCATCCACTCTTTCAATGGTGTTTTTTTCCGCTGGGCTCGACGCTTTGGGCGCCCGCACGGATCGCTGGCATTCGCTGGGACCTTGGTCGTGCTCGGAGGGTCGACCCCATCCGCAGATACGATGAGACCTCCTTCTGGCAAGTGAGACGCAGGACCGCAGACCGTGAGACCCTGCCGTGGTGTGTGGAATAAAGTTCAGCATCTTCCAGTTGGGAGTGGAGCGAGACATGCGCCCAAGCTGACAAGCTGACAAGCTCTTAAAAGCAGCAGTCCTTTGTACTGGTTTTTGTCTTCTTGGAGAAGGGGTTGTTGTGAGGGGAAGGTTGAGGATTGTACTAAGACTATCTGAGATATCATTATGATCAGTCAAACTATGTTAGATGTTAGTTATATAGATTAATTCTCAAAGAAGCGCACCAAACACAACCGTTTTTTTGGAAGATGTTGCGATATGTTGCAAGCCTTAGCGGTCCTCACCCAAAAATTGTATATCAGAAGACTGAAATATGTTGTTTTTTACAGTTCGAGGCTCCCTGCTCGTGATCAAGAGCTATGTCCGCTGGGAGTGTGATGACATATGTGAAAAGTCACGCTATGTGAACAAGGGAAGACAAACAATTCAATTGACCAGGCCAAACGCGGAGCTTAAGTTTCTTGCTTTGTTCCGAGTTTCGCGTGAAAAAGTGCTGGACGTAAGCTAGAATCCAGGTGTTTCTGCCGCGTGAGCATCTCTGAACATTTCTTATGTGTGTCAAACACGGGAAATATGCGCCGTTGAACAAATAGTTTGAAAGATCAAGGCTTTTGAGAAGCAGATCGTCTCCAGAAAGAAGGAGGCTTTAAGAAAGCATGCAGTTGCTAGTTTGAGCATCCTTTCACAACATAGTGGCTTAAAAGTGGCCCACAGGAGTCCAGGCACATGTCGGTAGAAGACCACTTGGACCAGTCGAAATGTCAAATTTAACCTTGATGTTTTTCTTCATTATCCCGGTCTTCGGCATTTTAAATGTGTTTTGTTTCTTTTTCTGTGTTTCTTTTCAACCCGGCCAACTGGACACGGAAAACCCGCAACCGCTTTCAGCGGTTGTCGCGGCGACGGCTTCGAGCGCAGAATCACCTTCTTCGACCACAACGTGTGCCCGTTGCGGCTGCTCGTGGACTTGGTCGAAGAGCAACATAGGCCACAACGAGCGTGACGGCGAGCGACGCGTGCGGTTGGTGGTTGGTTTGTAAGAAAACTCCCGCGTTTTTGGAGTCGAAGTCGATCCTAAGTGGTAGATATATACCTGGAGCCTGGAACACCTACCAAAATCTATTCGTTTTAGATTGTTTGATCGACCATCAAAAAACACAATCCAAGACCTATGTGCCGGTGTCACAAAGGGCACTCCAGGGATTCCAAAGTGTATTGAATAGCAACACCAAAGTTGCGCCATAAAGTTGAGCGTTTGCGTCGTTTTGTTGATCGTTTGCGTTGTATTTTTGGTTGTTGTTTCAGGGTTCACGCAACGGCGTTGTGTTTCTAGTCGTTTGTGTTGTGTTTCTAGTCGTTTGAGTCGTGTTTATATGTGCTTATAAATGTTGTGTTGTGTTTTTAAGCGTTTGGGTGTCTCCAGCTCGTTTCCGGCAAGGTTTCCACATAGCGAAAGCAGTCCTTGATCTTTTTTGATCGTTTTAGCCAAACACCAAAAAACACCACACCAATGCCATGTGGCGTCTCAAAACTGATTGGCACTCAAAAAACGGTGATCGTTTGGGGTTCCAGGTATATCATGATATATAATCACACAACCATGTTTATTATTATTGGTGCAGGGTGGGCCGGACGTTTCATTTTCGGTGTTTTTCGGGGAAGTCATGGGGCCGTTAGATGAGGGAAACCTCTCCACGGCTTTCCACGAAGTCGTGTCCTGCGTGCGGTTTCCTTCCTGCAAAGTACAACAACCCCCGTCGTCGGACGTAATCCAATGAGACTTCCTACCTCACACCTGAAGTAGTTTCTGTGTTGGTGTATTCAGTTTGGTTTCGATCTGTTTGAGTACTTTGACACACTTCTTCATCCCCGACACACTTGTTCCCTCTCCGTTCGTCTTACCGAACGCTCGCGCGTTCGGTCCGAGACCTGGAGCCGCGTCGCAGCCAGGTTCTTGGCCGAGGAGCCCAAGAATGTGGTGGTGATCCACTGCAAGGTGCGACGTCATTTTGGTTGGGAGAAACGCTCAAGACGTGGTCATTGCATCAGGTCTTGATGACGTATTACAGGCTGCAGCCAGCCTCACACTGCCTGCAGACATCAGGGGCCTCGCCTTGGCCGTCGGCCTATCATCTGGTTTCAGCCCTCGCGGCTTCACCTCTGAACGTGACAAGCATCATTGTCCAAATGTTGTCAATGTTGCGAAGAGCAGTTCTCAGACGCCAGATCTTGACAGAGCATGGCGCAGCAATTGGTACTGCACGGTCTAACCCACCTGCCCCGCCTGCTGTAGCTATTCCGGTGTTTGGTGCCGGTACAGTCCGGATCTATGGAGGAGAAAGGGCTCAGATGGCTGAGACGTTTCAAGCCGGGCTCAGGTGGTGGCGTTTTCGACAGAAGCCATCCGTTGGCAGCTGGAGCTGGCGGCTGGTTGGCCGGCGAATCGCACAGTCTATGCCGGTGTGGCCGCGAACTCACCGACCCTCATCGCTTGGCCAGAGACTTATCAATCAGCAGGTTATGCTGGATTGGTAGTTTTCATTCGGAAGGGGCTCACTCAGGAGCAAATTGATGCCGCTCCTTATGGAGCAGGCGCAGTAGCGAATGTCACCGCTGGAGGGCCAGGAGGTAACCTCCCTGCAGGTTTGCCTCATCAGACTCCTCTTGACAGAGCGGACATGGCCACCTGCCGCTCGCAGCTGATCAACTATGTATCATTGCTCGGAGTCGAAAAACAGCTGCTTGTCGCAGAGATCTTCTGTGACTCGATGTTTGCAGGAAAACCTGCACTGCCGTTCGGCACCGGCGGCTACACAACGAGTCATTAGGGATCATCGGTGGCAGAGGGCTTGCCACATTGAGGAAGTGGGGACGGCAAATCATTTCATCGAGACGGTGAATGCCGTGGTGGCTGGAAAGGCAGTGCCTCCTCCTCCTCCGAAACCCAAAGGGTTGGCTGCTGTGTGCAGCAACCCCATGCCTGTCGTTTTCGCCAAGCCTCCTGGTGCAAAGTTTGCAGCGATCCCTCCTCCTGGTGCACCCATCAATCCAGTCGCTGGCAATGAGTTGCCGCTATATGCTTGCGCGTAGGCCCTCCGCCGAAGCCAAAAGCTTGGGCAGCCAATCCATCTGAAGCAGGGGACGGCACCGTGGAGATGCCTGTTGTGCCCACGGCAGCGCCAAAATACAAAGCCCTCCCAGCCAATGTGAAGCCTAAGGGCGTGCCAGCTGGGCAGCCACTCGGTCGCCTCGGATGTGACGAGGGTCACACCGATTGCCATGGAAACGCTGCTCCAGACGGGAGTGCCGGGCATCATTACCTCCCGCTTGAGGGCATTTCTTCTTCGCGAGAGACGACTTGCAAGCCGCATCCTGTCCCGCTACCGGGAAAAGGACTCGCGTGATCTCATCAAGGAGCTTTGCTTAGCAAATGCTGTACTTTCCGGAGCGATGAGCGCTGCTGAGCGCAGCCTTGGTCTTTCTGCAGTTTTCATAGCGCCTGAAGATCGCATCCACGTCGGCGGAGCCGGTTTGGCGTGTCAGAATTTGACTGGTGACACGGCCATCGACTTGGACATTCAGGAAGCCGAGTACCGCAAATTGACGTCGGTTGAGCAATCCCCATGACGTCAGTGGGGCTAGAATTGCAGCGGCAACTTGCCTTGAGGTACGGTCTCCCCCTGCCTGTCGCTGTTGCTGACACGGTATGGTATCGCGCTGACGGCCTCAGTGGGTTCAACCCACAAGTTAGCCCCTACTCTTTTGTCGAGCGGCATGACATTCTCCTCTCCGGCCTCAATGTCACCAATGTCTCATCGGCCGAAATGATTTTGGGGTCGATATTGTCGATGAAGCTTTGAGTCGCTCTGAGAAGTTGGGTCCTCGTTTAGCAGTTGATCCTGAGAAGATGGACTGGAGTGAGGTGCTTTGGAATCGAAAATACTTTCCAAATTGTGGTCGAAATGTGTGAACCTGATCCGCCTGGACAAATTTCAAGATTTTGAAGGAATGAAGACAGAGTGGTTTGGAGCTATTGGGACAGGTTATGGTAAGCAAACCAAGCTCAACTATGAAGAGGTGTTGGATTTGAAAGATCATCCAAATCCCAACTACAAGGCAGCCAATGACATCGTGGAGGATTGAAGCGAGATGGTTTGTATTCAAAGCCAATCCGGGCAAAGCACAAAGCATTTGCTGAAATCCGTGATTTGAAGACTGATCTGGAGAATAGCGATCTTGAGATGGAGGACATCAGCAAGTGGTTTGGTTTGAAGAAGGCCGTGATCATCACGGCTTTTGCAAAGAGGGAGGCAGGTTCAGATCGGTGGTTGTTTCAACCAACTCCATCATACGATTTGAGGGCTCAAGTGATACTACATCCCTATATGCATGTGTGGCACAACGGGGATAAGAAGATTGCTGTATCACATTCAGAGCTGCCTTCTCTTGATGATATCTTGAGCAGGGTGAGCGAGTTCAGTGGCAAAGATATGGAGGAGTAGCTTGTGGTGATCATACAGATTTCAATGCTACACATCGCAGATCATCAAATCGTCGATTCTATGAGAGTTTGCGAGAAGTGGAATCCAGGAAGTTGCAGATGCTACCTTGCTTTGAGGAGAGACAAAAATTCTTACGAGATCTATGTGACATGGTTGAGAATAAGATTCTCATCATTCGTGGAGATGATTGCAAAAGAGCAATCAAGAAATTCGAGGATGAAGGTCATGAAGATAGATTTGTGAGGTGTTTCTTCCGAGGCCAACCAGCTGTAGCAGTACTTCTACCTGACGGATTGAGTTCAGCAAAATTGGATACCATGATCAGAAACTCTTACTTGCATTGTGTGTATTTGCAAGTGCAGTGTGATGCCACAAACTTCGTGGTCCGGGAAGTACCGAGACCCTTGTGGTTGAAAGGAGATGATAGTGGTGCTGGCTTTACGTCCAACCATCCTTGTTCACCTGCTATCTTCTTGATTATGGCTGGCAGATCAGGATCTACTATGTCGTGGATGAAATCAAAGGCTGGATATTTCGGAGAGGCAGAGAGAATGGTGAGTGATGGGCATATTGGAGCTAGGCCCATGTCCTGCAGCATTCGACGGCTCGCATTCCGAGGAGCTTCAGTGCCTGACTAAAAGTATGGTCTCTGATCTCGCCGCCCTTTTTGGGGCAGTCTGGCATCATGGTTTAAAAGCCAGACAGATGCAAGCCAGAACACTTCTTCGCTAAAAAAGAAAACCCCAATTCGATCTCAGACGGCCGCCCTATAACCATTTTGGGCTACTTGGCACGCCTTGCATCAAAGATGATTTCCGATCAAATCCTACAACAATGTGCCGCCTCTTGGCCCCCGGAAATCAGTGGCGGTTTGCCCCAACGATCTGCGAAAGACCTTTGTATTATGCAACAACTGCAGATCGAACGCGCACAAACCCACCACACTGCTTGGGGGGGATGGACTATGGACCTCGTTAAAGCTTTCAACTTGATCCCCCGCAGAGTCATCCGATATGTGTTTCAAATCTTGGGCATCCCTCCAAAAGTCTGTGATTTTTGGTTTTTGTCCCTGACTCGTCTTACTAGAGTTCTCCAAAGTGGTCATAAAATGAGTGAACCATCGCATTCGACGACAGGCCTACCGGAGGGAGACTCATGTCCGTAGTAGGCATGCTGGCCCTCAGTTTCGTTTACCGCATCAAGCTAAAGTCGCCTAAGGTTTTCCCCTACACATATGCCGACAATAGGTCTTTCATGTCAACGTCCGAGCAACAGTGTTTCCGGTCATTACAATCACCAAAAAAATTCAATGACCTTCCCGATAAGAGATTTAAAATGCAAAAAAGCAAAAATGTTTTAAATGAAAATCTTAGCAACAATCATCTCAAAAAAACTCAAATTACTTTACTTCGAGTGGTCCCCACCTGGCATCTACCTAGCATTCTATCTGGCATATCTTCTGGCATTTTGTCTGGCATACTATCTGTCATTCTATCTGGCATATCTTCTGGCATTCTATCTGGCATATTTTCTGGCATTCTATCTGGCAATGTATCTAGCAATCTATCTGACACACTATTTGGCATACTATCTGGCATACCTTCTTGCAGCATTCTATCTGGCAATCTACCTGGCATTCTATCTGGCATTTTCTCTGGCAAACTATCTGGCATACTGTCTGGCATACTATCTGGCATTTTGTCTGGCATACTATCTGTCATTCTATCTGCGTATCTTCTGGCATTTTATCTGGCATTCTTTCTGGCATATTTTCTGGCATTCTATCTGGCAATGTATCTAGCAATCTATCTGACACACTATTTGGCATACTATCTGGCATATCTTCTTGCAGCATTCTATCTGGCAATCTACCTGGCATTCTATCTGGCATACTGTCTGGCAAACTATCTGGTTGAGGTCCAGCGGTGCACACTGCGATCGGATCCTTGCGGTTGAGGTCCAGCGGTGCACACTGCGATCGGATCCTTGCGGTTGAGGTCCAGGGATGCACACTGCGATCGGATC